AGCGGTTAAACCTAGAGTTATAAATAGAGTTTATTATAACTCTATGGGTTATCCCTTATCACTCTAGTATCACTACGTACCTGCCGCTGCCCTTGCAAGGGCGGTCACGCCCACTTCATCGCGAAGGTTTGGATTCACCCGCTTCCTCAACAATTTAAGAACTGAAGAGATATCGCCTTGACCAGCAGATGAGACAAGCCTATTTTCAGTTTCTTTTCCAATATATACTTTAGATAAAATAATATTTGCTGCCATTTTCATTCAAAAATCATTCTAAATACTTCATTCTTCTGATGGGTAGTTTTTCAGCTTACCGTTGTCAGGTGTTTGTTTACATTTTAATAGCCAAACGTACCTTAATCGAGAAGAGCTTTAAAAATTTAACAAGAGTTGCCTCCCTTCAACCGCTGACAGCAGGTTTAAGATTCAATATTGTCCATCCTTCATCTTACGGGCCATGAAAATTAATTATGTAAATTTGATATACAGCGAGTCTTTAATAATGAAAATTACCCGGATAAGGCTTAAGAAATATAAGAAAAATGAAATAAAGCTTATGCTCTCAGCTATTTTTAGGTCCCTCAACTATATAGGCCTATAGCCTAATACAAATATTTATGCCTAAATTAACGGATAGGCTTATTTTTAATGTCAAAGTTTTGAAACCCCCAAATTAACTATAAGACGGATTTGGGTTCATTAGTTCTAAAAATAAATCTGGGATTAGGGATTTAAGGCTATTCGTGGGGTAAGAATACCAGTTTAATACCCAGCTATCACCCCTAGTAACATAAGTCATATACATATTAGTCTATACAAAAATCCCTTTTACTGTCGAAACTTTATTAGCTTCGAGGAGATAGTCCTATACTTCACTGCGCTAAAAAATACTAATTGTTGTATACATGTGAATTACTTCTGTATATATTTCTTGAATGAAAAAAAAAGGTTATGGTCCATGAGTAGGCTATTCTAATTTCGGCCTTCATGAGTGACCTTGTTTACGATTGTAAATTATTGTAAGTTTCGATAATTTGCTGGTAGACGCATTTAGAAACGTTGTATCGGGAGCAGCATCTGCGTAGGCCTACTGCATACATAGCAATGCTTTGATGTATAGATCAGTGAGGTGGTGTTAGTATTTGAGTAGATCGGGTGCGTCAGTGAAAGAAGCTAGGAATATCTAGAGGGCATGCATTTCATTCATCAGAATGCGGATCGTTATCCACCATCAAGTTACCATCTGAAACCACCCGATGGTTTCGGAGAACCTCATGGAACACCTAATGCTAGAAGACGATCATCATTCTGTGCATCATTTCAAGGCTCCAATTTTTCTCTAGCAGAGATTGGATGTCATCCTCTAGAATCAAGTCAACTGCTAGACGAGAATAACGAAGAATCAGACAGCTTCTATCCCAGTTCAACAGATCTCACAGAAAAACATGATTGTGTTGAACAAGGCTGTGGAAGAGTGATTATTAACGTTAGTGGAATGAAGTATGAAACCCAATACAGAACTTTAAGCAGACTTCCAAATACTTTACTTGGAGATCCAGAAAAGAGAGCAAAATATTGGAATCCAAAACGACATGAATTTTTCTTTGATCGATACCGACTGGCATTTCCTGCAATATTATATTATTATCAAAGCGGAGGGAGAATGAAGTGTCCATTAGAAGTTCCGTTCGATATATTCCTGGAAGAGTTGCATTTCTTTGAGATGGGGCATCATGTAATACATTCACTCAAGGTTAATGAAGGCTGTATTATGGAGGAACCAACAATCAAACCACCAAAAAATAGTATTCAAAGAACGATTTGGAACCTTGTTGAATGCCCCGAAAGTTCTTATTTCGCCAAGATTTTCACGTTTTTATCTATAATATTCATCTGGATATCCGTGGCGTTGTTTTGTATTGAGACGTTACCAGAGTTCCAGAATGTTGGGTGTAGAGCAGAGAACAGAACAACTAATAATGGTACCTTCGTTACAATTGAGGTTCCTGATTTCTCTCATACATTATTTATACTAGAATCTATATGTATATTTTGGTTTGTGTTTGAGATTGTGTTAAGATTCGGTGTATGGCCATCTAAATTAGATTTCCTGAAGACTGTGATTAATTGGATCGATCTGGTCTCAATTCTACCGTATTTTATATTTCTTGGTTTAACTCTGTCACTAGATGAATGTCACACCAACAATAAAAGTGGATTATTATCAGTATTAAGAGTAATCAGGGTGGCTCGAGTCTTCAAACTCAGTAAACATTCGGAAGGACTCAAGGTTTTAGCTAAAACAATGAAAACGAGTTTAAGAGAGTTGTTTATGTTTGCTATGTTTTTGGGTATAGCTACTATTATATTCTCGGGGGCGGTGTTTTACGCTGAAATGGGTAACGACAATAGTCAATTTGAGAGTATACCAGGAACGTTCTGGTGGACTATTGTCACTATGTCTACTGTAGGATATGGAGATTATGTACCTGTAGGAACATTTGGTAAAATTCTGGGTGGTTTCTGTGCTATCTCTGGGGTATTAACTATAGCTCTACCAGTTCCAGTTATTGTAGCCAATTTCAATACATTTTATAAACAAAGTACTGGAAGATCTCATTAAAGAGACTACTCAGAGATTTGCTGTTCAAGAAAATGCCTAAAATGAAGGATTCCTTCTTCAAGTGCACATTCCTCACTGTGCACTTAATTATTTCAACTTATTTTTAATACCACTAATGTATTCAATTATATACCAAATTAATACTGTGATATAACAACATTTCTACCTTATTTTATTAATATATTTTTGTAATAAATATGAATTGCCTTATTTTTCTGTGGTTTATTTTTATTTATTTTTGACATTCATGGGTGTGTTTAAACTGCAAATTGGGAAAGAAGTTTAAAAGGGAGATTTGATTTGTTTCCATAAATGACTTCTCAGATTGTACCTCAAAGTCTATTGACCACAAACAACAAAATCACTGAAGTGACCTTTCCAAGGCATCAGATTTCCCATTGGGAGTGAAATAATGGCATAAAATTTTGCATCAGTTTATATTATCTCTGGTGAAATATGTACAATAAAATACAATATACATATAATATAATTTAAGATTATCATCACAGTAAAATGTAACACTAACTACAGTAATATAATATTACAGAATAATAGCAGATCTTCCTCTCTATATTATAACATGTTAAAATCAACTTTTCATCTATCAATCAAATTTTTTATTTAGCTTCAAAATCAGGGTTTTATGACATCAGATTTCAAATTATCAGAAAATGAAAATCATATGTGAATACAATTATATGAATGTGTTTTGTAAAACAAGTCCCTCAAGAGTTCACCATTAGCAAGTCAAATATTTTGGGAGTATGAGATTTTGACATGTTTATCCTATTAAAAGCAAAAAAACAAAAACGCCAGATACAAGTTGAAACTCGTACAGATACATTAAATAACCTTTTTTTATCCAAACTTATCAAGGCACAATTGTTCAGAGTACCATCCTAGATTTACTCTCAATTAATCACACTACTGGTGATATACATATGACAAAATCACATCCATATATCATGTTTGAGGAACTAATTTAGGGCTAGATTTGTTGGACTAACTAAGAACTATACAATAATAATGCTTTACAAAAAATACAGCTACACTTAAGTATCACATCTAGCCATTTTTATAGGCAATAGATTCCCTTATTTGTCTATCTAATTCAGCTATTATTTTATCTTGTGAAGTATAAACACCAGTTCTAAGTAATGTATCACGTTCTTCGATTAATCTTGTTATACGATCATCTATACTAGTATCTAAATCTGTATTTAATCTTTTACCAGTCATTGTATGTATATCATTAGAATCACCATTTGATTTTAATCTATCTTCTTCTAATTGTTTTAATCTATAATGAAATATTGTAATGACATTTTTTATTCAAGTGTTCAAAACCTTATTTAGCTAGATATTTACTTAATCTTCATGTAATTCAGGTAGTAATCAAAATATATAAAAATATACAGTCCCCTGGCTGTGATTATGTTTTGAACCTCATTATTCTAGAACAATTTGCTGGAATGTTACATTTCAAAGACTCACTACAGTGGGCTGTCTCTCCCTTCCATGCAATCCAAAACCTGTGTTCCCCTGTATCCTACTGTTCTGCAATCATTCAAATACAAATGCAGGGTCCTCTGTTTCATTACTTTTCATGTACTAAGAGCACTTACTTATTTAATTCGTTTTTTATATCTTCAAGTTCCTTTTTCTCAGAGGCTACAACATCCTTTTCTTCAGCAGCTAAATATCTTAATCTCATATGATCTAGTTCCTGTTGTTGTTTCTTTAGATTAGCTTTAGCCATATCTTGTTCTTTTTGTTTTAATCTGGCCAATTCTTTTAATGCCCGACCCCACTGTTGTTTATAATGTACTTTAGATTTCGTTACAGCATCTAGCTTTCTCTCTAATTCAACCTGTCAATAAGTATAGAAACATATTCAATGGAATAGCAATCTAAAGAATATAAGAGTACAATTATGTTTCTTTTGTATATTTTGTTTTCATTGTAATCTAACAAGTTTCTACCACAGTTCGGTTTTAATGACTTTTATTTTAATCTAATGAACGCATCCGAAACCAAAAGGGGCTGTAATGTCATGACATGCTTTGATTGGTTCAAAAAAACCAGGGAAAAAAAAGCAATGAAATTAAAATCCTAAAATCAGAGCATAAAAGCATATAACAAAAACTAAGGATTTATGATGCCACTAATCCTGGTGGAGAATCAATTCTATAAAATATGAATTGAAAACAAATATTACCATACCTTTTCTAATGTTAATAAATTAATTTCTGACTGTAATCTAACTTCTGGTTTAGTATTTTGTTGTTCTTTATAAACAGTAAATTCTCTATCTAATGTTTTATATTTTCTCTCAGCTTCTCCTACCTATAAACAACAAGTCATATTAGTAATCAAACTGCTGTGTCAAGGAATAGAATTGTGAGATTTTCTGTTTTGCTGTGGTAGTTATAAGTAATCATTTACATTGACCGACTTACAGGGGGACTTATTTTGAAGGAGAATATCAAAGAGACAATACCTCATTTTTATATCTTGCTATCAGTTCTTCTAATTCTTTTACCTTCATCCTGTAAATACAATACAATCATTGATTACTCTCACTTAATACAACAACCAACTTTACTCTTTACTCAGATTCTACTTTCAGTTTTCTAAGATAAGTCTACTTTATTATCAACCTGCTTAGAGTGAACCCTTTTACAGTTGAACATACAGATTACTTTAATATCAGTCCACTATAATGAACAGTTCAACAGACAGTACAATATTTCACTTACTTTTCTAATTGAACTAAATGATCACAATCTAATTTTAACCTATTAGAGGCTTCTTTTACTTCTTGTAGTTTCCTTTCATGATCATGATGTAAATCTTTCTTCAATCTTGACACCTGAATAAAATTAAATTATATGTAAAGAATGAATACAATTATAAAGCTAAAGAATCAAAATAATCATGCAACATCAATAACACAATTTATAAAATAAATATATTATATTGTCTTTTACTGGTTTCGTTAGATTTAACTAAAAGATAACAAACCTCATGTTCATTAGCAGCCAATTGCTTCTCTCTCTTTTCTAAATCTGTTAATGTTTTACGTAACTGTTCTTCTAGTTGAGTATATTCTGTTACCTGTTCACACAGAAAATAATTGTAAGAAATACAGAACATATGCACATAAATAACCTGGTATTTGAAAGTATCCAATGTGCTATATATTTATAGCAAGGAATAACCTCAGAAGTTTTAGAGTTATTTGATAGGCTCTGAGGATTACTCTTGATATCTATATCGTACAAGCTCTTGTGCAAAACATTTGTTTAATTTCAAAGTCTGAAAAAATATTGTTTATTTAATCCATTTCAATATATCATTAAGGGGTTTTCATACAAGTTTACAGAATACCAGAATACAGCTTTTACCTTTTTCTGCATAATAATTTCTCTTTCTGTATCTCTTTTCTTCCATTCTTCACCTAATGCTTTCATGTACGACATTTCTTTCTGTTTTAACTACAATAAATGAAGGTTAAAAACCTTTTACACACTATACCAAAGATTGTTATTTTTTTAATCTATCTTTGACTTGAACTATGTCTGAAGTTGAGATGTAGAGGCGAAAACCACAGATGTAAATATCATAATAAACAACTTAGCCCTACCTGGTGTTCAAAGGTTTTTTCTTGTGCCTCTTTCCACATTTCTAATTCCAATGCAGCCTGATATTCAGCAGATTGTCTTGGAGACACCTGAACATCTTCTATCACATTCTGCTGTTGAATTTGTTGATAATTGATATTTTGACTATTTGACTGACTTTGGATATTGGCAGGATTCTGTAATGAATTCAAGTATTTCAGTTAATAACTTATATCATCCATATTATAATTAATAAAATTTTCTTCAACATTTTGCATATCTTGTAATCCTGATTTGTGTATATTTTCCCCCCCAAAAATAGACTGTAACGAACGAGATTAAAAAAATTAATATTGTACTTGACAATAATTTAAGTTTAATGTTATGCCTAAAAACTTTGACAAAGAAAATCCCGTAATTTGCGACTATTACTGTTTTTAAAAGACAAGAACAAATAACTTACTGATTGTTGTTGTTGTTGTAGGGGTCCCCAGTCTTCTAACACTAACACTACAAATAGTTCTCCATAATATTCTTCAGGTCTGGAAAAATCAACAAAAAATAACATTTAATATCACAAAATATAACCATTTAAAATATCATATTAAACTTTCACAACATTCTATAAAGTGAGTTAGTTAGATAATGAAAAATACCTACGTATTTGTCTTGAAGATGTAAATTCTATCATTGTATTCTTGTCTTGTACCATGTCCACCTGTATCTGACTGAAAAATAAAAACTTATTAACAACTTATTATCTTAAAGACCAGATAAGATTCAGATATTTTGTCAGATATCATGATTACTAAAGCTCATATAACCAGCCAAGGGAATTTCAGATAACATTCGAATTATTGAGCTTCAACTACAGGTAATTAAAAACTTACAGTAACATGTGTTTTATTAGTTGGTATAATATCAGATAATGGTAATCTAGTAGTACCAATAATACTATCTTTATTATTCTCATTACGTTTCCATACTTCTACTAATAATGGTACTCTATCAAAATAACATGTAAACAAAAAATCAATAACAGACTTAATACATACACTTCTTATAAAATAATTTTTCAATATATCAATGGTTGTAACTCTGTCAATAAATTTCGAATTGTACTCGATTTTAGAACTGTCGAGAGATATTTTGGAGTATGAATTCAAACTTACAATTTCTTTTTTAAATCTAACAAAAACTGTACTACTTTCATTCAATTGATGTTATATAATAATATTAGATATGAACATACCTTTGAAATGTATCGTGAAGTTGTGTTGTTGAACAAGCGAAATCAAAAGCACAGAAAGATTGTGGTAATAAAACTTCCATTCCTTTCCGTATATCTATTGGTGGATGTGTTAGTATAGGAGCAGCACTACCAAAGAAGGGATAAGTGTACCTACAATTACAGATATAACGTAAATGTAAATGGGAAAAAAAGTTATTTTAAACTGGAAAACTAAAAAATTGTAGACATGTATATCAAACAGCTTCTGTGAATTGTAATCATGAGACCAATGTAAAAGCTTGTCAATAGGTTTAATTTAGTAACATCTTCCACACATGAATATCAGAACAGGTGGTTTGAGAAATTGGTACTACAAACTGATAGGTAAGAGGTGAACATAAAAATTGACCAATAAAATGAGTCTTGAATCAAATCTTAAATATTAGATTGTTCTGAAATGCTATCAATAAGTATTTGGAACCCAAATTTGAAGACTGACAATTTAAAAATCTATGTATGATAATGTTGGAATATTTTCATGACCTTACCTAATAAATATAGACTGTGTATTGGTAGAGGATGTATCTTTAATACTACGTAAATCTATAGAGAAGGTAAAGTGATGAGCTTGTGGTGGTACAGAGAGAGCTGAGGCCTGAAACCTGGTATTACTTCTCAAACCATTTAAACCTGAGGAATAAAACATCATAACTACATTGCCTTAATATCAAGCTGAAATGGAATTTAGTGATAACAAAATTATGAAAAGTGTCTATTTCAAGTGATCAATTTGAAGTCAATTCTAAATATTTAATTGGATGAAGTTCTAATTATATATAAGTAATGACATTTTAATTACCTGGTGATGGTATTTTAGATCGTTGATGTGAAGGTTTGTTTTTAGGTGATACAGGGGAATTCTGATTCTTAGTGGCTGGAAAACAAAATAAATCACAAATTAAAGATATAGAAATTATTCAGGTGATATGGAATAATTACTTATAGTGTACATCATTTTATAATTCAACCTTCTTAAAAACAAAACATTTCAAAATATTTCTATACTTGACATAATTCAATACCTTTTTGAACCAGTTTTTCTCCCAGACTTGTAGTTTCTTTAGATTTCTCATCATCTTCAAATGTATCAGAATAACTTCCACTAACATCTTTTGGTTTAGTTTCTTTAGATTTAGGTGAATTCCCTATCTTTCCTTTACTCTTCTCTTCTTCTTTACTTTTGTGTTTCAATTTTGGAGAAGATTTTGGGCTCGCTGGTCTTTTGGGTGAGTTAGTATTACTATTACGATTACCATCTCTGACAGGAGATTTTGATACCTATTTCATTGAAGATTATATTAATATTATACAAAACAAAATGTCAATTGAGATTTTCCCAAACTCAACTCTATTAACATTACTATATAGCTTTGAACTGAATCTTCAGAATATGTCTGATTGTTTATATTTCCATCGAATGCCAGATACATGTTTCATTTTTGTGGTGTTTTTTAGTGCAGATTTCACAGATTGAACCATCATTTAATGTTGTGTGGTTTGTGGCTTAAAACAGACAAACTTAATGTCATTGCTTTTTTTCATATTTTCGTTAAACTTGGTAAATTCAACACTATGATAGCAACAAAGCTGTGATAATGGATATAATATAATGTGTCTTACCATATCTTCTCGTTTTAAGACAACAGATACACCTACTGATGGCTGTAAACCATCTGGTATACTTCCCATCTGCAGTTTTGTACGATTTGGTGGCACTAACTGAAAAACAAGACATATTTCCACAGTTTATAATTATAAAATCATTCCATACTTTGGCCTGAATATAAGGAAAGAAGAAATCCATCAGTGAAATAACTTAATCAAACTTATAATATAAGCATGTGAAATAAAAACACAAATGCAGAGAGACTGATGTTGTAACATGAAAAATGTGCTTTTCTTCAAACCTATTTAGAATTGGAAGAAGGATAGCTACTGTGAAAAGAAAACAGTTATTTGACTGCAGTTTACCTGATGTGCTCCTTCAATAGTTACTGGTCTCATGTATATTTCATTACTGTCCTTCTTCAGCAACGTTTTTAATGAAACTTCACTACTTCCTAATGATTGGTCTCCACAACATAAATGAAACTAAAATTAGAAAAATTGATAACTTTAGAAAGAAGATTACTTCACATATAGGCTTAAGTTGAATTAAACAATGCTACCCAATTGCGGTTAGGATTGTATATCAAAAATGAATAAATGCACATTATCACAAAAATGCATGGTTAGAGAACAGGTTCAGACTGAAATATTCCTTAATATTTGTTAGTATGGAAGTGTGCAGAAAAGTTAGTAATGTAATACCTGAATGCCTGGTTGATTAAAGAAAAATATTCTCAAAGCATCAACACTGGATCTTAATTTCACAGACGCTCTTTCAGCAGGAAAATTAGTATTGATGAGATCAGTGAAGGCTTCATTAGTAACATCATTACCCAATAGAGAATAGTAGAAGAAGTATGATGATGCTGACAATGGCTGGTTGGAGGGGATAAGCTGAAAAATACAGAAACATCATTGATAAAATGAAGTAAATTGTTATTTCTGTTGCTATAAACATTACTCTATGCTTTCTCAGATGAATCTTACAAATCTATGTTTACTTACCTGAGCCAAATTTGATGCATAAGCTATGGTCACAGATAACACAAACATTTCATTACATTTCTTTGCTGGACCAATTTGATAAAATCCCTCTTCTTCATTCAAGACAGGAACTAATGTTTTAAGATTAGTGCTTTCTAACGCTGTCAGGTTTTCTTCTGAAAGACAATTTAGAAATCTTATTTTCAATAAAGCATATCTATGAGGAAACCTTTGAACAAACAACAAACAATGATATTATTTATACATGGACAACTTCATTTGCTGAACAAATTCTACCAAGAATATTTGCATGATCGTTTTCAGTAACATGTTCTTGAGTGAACTTCATACTTAGTTAGTGCCAATATACAATTTTTTTTTACAAATTCAGGAACTCAATCCACTGTTTTATTTCAGTGCACACATTTTGCTGTTATTTACAATTACAGCAATAAAATATAAGTCAAATTATTTAATTACAAACCTGATGGAGCTTTAACAACAGGCACAGTTTCAGTATTAGTACCATGATCATCATCTAAATACAATGCTAATTTGATTTCAGGTTTAGATTTATGATATTTACTATGTAATAATGGATACCACTTGGCACACTGAAACAGATAACATAGCAGTTTAGGGAAACAAATTATCAAATGAGGGACTTTCAATAGTATATACTTAATGGGACAGGTAGGCAATTTTTTGACCAATCATACTTTAGTTTCAGAAACTGGAATTTTTTTAGCTGAGCTAATCAGTAATAGTGTTCACAGCTCTCAGTCAAAATTTGAGCCGTCAATTCCATGTATGTCCAGAATTATCGCAATTGAATGTTTAAATGACGAATCGTCAATTTAAGATACTCTGTAATATATACAAAAGACTTATAGAAATAGCGAGTAAAATTCCTAGTTTGAAGTATTTCTAAAGAATTATGTGTTTTTTCATAACTTTCTAGTACTTCTGAAGACTATTTAAATATATTCAAGACTAAAATCAACCCCCCAAAATGAAGCACTTGTCCCTTTAAGCTTAATAAGTAGGAAGGTTGTTTGAAACACTCGGACCACTGTACTAGCAAGAGTGCACACAATACAAACTCCAAATATTGTTTCAAGATGAAGATGGCATAAATATGAAAATCAAAAGAGTGGATAGTTCAAACCTGTTTATTTGAAGTTGCTGATCTGAGATCTAATACAACATATCCAATAAGTTCTTTCATTGTAGTATGTGCATCATAAGCATAACATTGGATTTTAATTGATGCCCTCTGTAATCTGTGTTGTTGAAGAGACTTTTTATCCAATTCCCAAGCCAGTTCTTGTGTAATATCTGGGTTTTCCACATGATCAACAGGATCAGTTGCCAAAAGTTCTCCATCAAACTTTGCTTCTGCTATCAATTTATGCTTTGATCTTCGTGGTAGTCTCCTTCCTTTTAAAAAAGAAATCTGTTAGTTGATTACTATAGCATGTAAGCTTATATATGTACAAAAGAAATAGATTAAGCTTAAACTTATTGAATTAAAAAAGCATTTTTATCCGGTAACAGAAATGAAGCACTATTTTCAACATAATGCATTGATAACCATTTCAATTGAATGGCAGGTAGATTTTAATGTTTCAAAACCAAACAGTCTAATTTACTGAGATTATTATCATGTTTGTCATTATAAAAATTGTTTTAAAGACCAATTTTACTAGACTTATAGTTTGAATAGTGTACTAGGAATTTAATCTTAGAGACAAGGCAAAGCTGAAGTCAAACTCCTTCAAAGAGCAAGTTACAGGTGTTTCATCATTATCCAGGAAACATGCACTATCAATGTAACTGTAATCATAATGCACTATCTTATTAATTTGACTCCTTTTAAGTTCAGTCTAGCTCTATACAGAATACATTGACTAGCTTCAATTAGCATTATCAAAATTGGAGTTCATTACTGGATAAAATGAACCTATGCGAGATCAGACTTGTTTGGCAAGTGTTGCTATCAAACCAGTTTTACGATCAAATAACATAATTAAAGACAATTCCGTACCTTCTAAAACTGAAATGACGACCAGAAACTTATCTTTTTCTCCCATTTTAGTCGATTTCTTTAAAAATTAATATTTAAATTGATATTCTACTTTTACAGTTCCCTTAAATTGTTATTATTTTGAAAACATCCGCCATGCTGGAAATTATGTCAAACTGACCCGGAAGTGACATCATTTTAAAAATCAGCTGATTTAGTTTTAACATAATTTAGTTACTTTCGTACTTGATATTTTTAGTGTTTTTTGCAATATCGCATTGTGATATTTTGATTAAGGAGTTCATAACAGTGTTCAAGTTGCTCCTGTTAATCTCTGAATGACATGTCACAGTTGTTTACAATTTATTCCTAAATCTTCTTGGTTACGGACAATGACATGCGCAGATTAAACCGGAAAATTTATTCCGGCGATTAACTGCCTTTTCAACAAAATAAACCCAATTAGTCATTATTAATCTTGATTGATCAATCCATCGTTTAATTGATTAATTCAACTTTTTATATAACAACCATTATTCGAACTACCATCGTCTTTACAATGAAATTACTTGGAAATATAGCCGGCACCCGGTAGTTTAAAGTCGCGGATGAATTGATCTCCCCACCTAACTTGTCTGGAAAAAGTAAACTGGACAGATTATGTGATTCTTTTTGTTAAAAAATCTCGAATCTCGTTAAATTTTTGGAAGTAAATACGAGATGAAGACTAATTTTTGTTTTCTTAACACTTAATTTGATGGTTATAATGTTAAGGGATCTAATCAGTCCGAGGAAAAATGGTTTTTATGGTGACTTTTGGAACCGTTTCGCATAAAATACACGACGTTCCTTAATTTTGTTGTGTGTTTTCTGGACAGTTTACATTACTGCCTTCATCACGTTGACATCCTTTTGATTAAATAACTTACAATGAGTACCCCTAAAAGGGAATATGAAAAGACAGATGAAACAACCAGGCGAAAGTCCAGTGCAAGGGGAATGCACAATACAAGCAGGCAAAGCACATCCACTAATTCAAGTGTTTTGATGGTAGGACCCAATTTCAGGGTTGGAAAAAAGATAGGATGTGGTAATTTTGGAGAACTTCGCCTTGGTAAGGACCAGAATCTTATGATCTTTTATGATCATGTAGTAAAAAAAAAATACTATCAAAAACTACAGTCATAATCATATCAACTTATCTGACTGACAACTCTAGTGCTCTGATGAAGGGAAGGCCTTGTGGCTTAGTCTGGCATTCTTCTCAGGGTAGAGATGCCAATGGCCAATTTTGGGGGTCGTTTTTAAGCCTTCAGATATGGGAAAAATTTTCGTCTCTAAATTTCACTTTATGTATCTACTTAAACATTAGATTTGTAAGGAATTAGTAATAAGTAAAGCAAGTGCCAATAAACTACAAATGATCATACATTTATGATACAAGACACTGTGCACGGTTGTCAAAATTATAATCAATGCAGGTCGTTCTAATCGCCTTTTGAGGATTACCTAAAAAGAATTTTATAATTGTCAAGTTTAGGTAGCCTAAACTTCCTTATAAGCTTATACTTCTATCAGGAGCCACCCTGACTCAGTGAGTTAGACACATTCCGGCTAACATGAAGATCCGGGAGTTTAATACCAGCATAGGTCGAAAAAACCTTCAGAGTTTTCAACCTCTCGGTGATGCAAGTGTATGAGGGTCTGACATGGAAAAAGCGACTAGTTGCTCGAATGGGACAACAAACTACAGGATGTGTACATTAAAAGATATCTCAACAGTTGGAAATAGAAAGAGAGCAGGCTAATGCCACTGTCCTGTCAAAATTTCCCTCATTGCATCCTACATGATGCTACTTGTCTTATCAGACCACATGTTGCTGAAAAGTAGGATGTAAAACTCCATTTACTTCATTTATACTTCTTATCATGCATGCAGTAAGTTCTGTAATAATTTTTGAAGGACAAGATAAAAAGTTTAATTTCCTCTCAGGATGATATTGGCAGTTCCAAACTTTATTCGTTTTTAGGCGTTTCATGTCTGTAATCTTGACTTGATGACTTGATATCACATTTTTGAAGCATAATATAATCATTAAGACTTTTATAGGGTACATTTCAATTAGGACTGGGTAGTCTGTATACTAATCAATAGTCGATTATAATCAAAATAATTTAATTGAGAAACCATATAAATACTAAATCAAATAATGTCAAAATTCTTAATTTCTTGGGTTATATTTGCGTCTTAGGAATATATTCTTGCTTTGATTGGTTATTATAGCTTATTTCGAATAAGGGAACCTATGTGGAAGAGAGGACAAAGGAGAAAATGTAACTTTGACATATAATTGATGATGAAATTTGGTAATTGATAATCAAAATTATACATTCATAGTGATGATTATCAATTATGTCGATCATTTGACCCAGCCCTAATTTCAATGTTCAGCTATGCAGTAAGACAGACTTAATAGTTAAGCTTACTAATATGATAATAAAGATGCAATAAAAACTTGACAATACAACAAGAGCTCCAAAATGTAATGATATTATAAGGATATTTCAAATGATTACAGAAATTCTCTTATTTTGTAGGGAAGAATCTGTATAATAATGAACATGTTGCAATCAAATTGGTAAGTATTTTTAAGTTTCAAATTGTATCCCTATTTTGACTAATCTGGTTACCATAGAATTTCCAATTCTTGCATCTTTATTAGTAAAAATGAATTCTAATTATTTAATGAATTAATTCATAGTAAAGGTGATATATTTGAGTAATATCAAACCTTTGTTTTGTTTTGTGCAGGAACCCATGAAATCTAGAGCACCCCAGCTTCATTTGGAGTATCGGTTTTACAAGCAACTTGGACAGTCAGGTCTGTTAATCACATTTTTCTTTGTTACCAGTACATATTTTTATATGCAGTGCATGTATTATTGTTGTCTGTCTACTTGTTTTTACAAAACTCACATAACAATGTCAAGCTAATATGAACTTTGTACTTATATCTGAACTGCAATAAATATTTTTCTTATATCATGGAACTTAATGAAGTCATTGAAGTGATTTAATTTGATCGTGTGCTAGCGAATACAACCAATCAGAGGCCTCGACAGAAAGTCTGTGAACACAAAGCCTTAAAGGGCTCTTGTTGGTTGTATTCGCTGGCACACAACACTGGCTTGAAATTGTGAAGATGACAAAACTCAGTGTGCAAGTTCTAAGTTAAGCGTACTTAAATGACATACAATCTCTATAGGGCTAAATAATTGCCCAGAAAAGTATTATTGTCATAGTTTCTCAATGAATTGTCTTTTTGTATGTGTTCAGTTTTCTCCCCCTTTGACATTTAAAAATTGAATATGAATTATTGAAAAATTAGTACCATGGGTAAAGCTTCTAATGTCATAAAATAGTAAAAATAAATTGCCATATCCTTAAAGGAAAATCTGTAAGATTATTTAGCCTCATATTAGTAAACATGTAGGATTGTGTCCAGTTAATGCTCTTATCTTCAAACCAATGTATATAATAGAATGTGACAGTCTTATTATCCTCTTATATTTATCTATCTCAATAGGATTTTATAGCAATATATCTCAAAAGTCATAGTTGTACATAAGATTTAGGCTATAGAAATTGATTTATTCATCTTTTCACTTCATTTAACCACAATCTGCCTGTTTATGGAAAATTATGCAAAGATGATGCTAATGTGTGCAATAAAAATTATATTTAAAAAGGGAAGAGGTAGATTGACATTTGTTGCAAAATCCTAAACATTGCCGTTAAACTTAAAAATCTTCATTTTATGTGTTCAATTATGATGAATCATGAGCAGCCACTGTCTGAGTGTTTTATTATAACTTTGTCAGTATGCCTAAAGGGATGTGCTTGACTAGTTCTGCTTTTCTGTGTTCAAACATCCTTGCTACTTACTACCTTTATCACATTTCAGAATGCAAATTTTAATGAGGCAATAATGTAAATGATAATGATATGATGGCTTTAATGTTGAATGACATTATATAATGTGTTGTATCTAACAGTAAAGCTGACTTAAAGGAATTAATACCTATAGACCAGTGTTTGGTTTAAGCGTTTTTATGTATTTAGGCAGGGCTTGAAATAAGCGTCTGGGCATGGACATTATTCTGTAAAATTTTGGTTAAGTCTGGTAAAAAATGTATGAAAAAATATTCTCTTCTTTTGGGAAAGATCATAATTGATTACCTTTTCAAGGTTGTGAGTCTGACATTACTCACCTCAGAACGAAAAAAAAGTAAGTGACTCCAACAGCATAGTCTAGATCATCCAGATTACTAGCACCTGGAGAATACATGCAAGGTTTGGTTAATCAAGTCAAAGAAAAAAAACCAATTGAATGGTGTTGACACAATTAGTCCAAGTCAGAATTTTATTGATTTTAATTCTATGATTACTTTATATTAACAAGATTATCTTTCATATGGTATTAAATCTTCTGAAGTCCAATCACCCTTTTGATACTGGTATTTCAAATATTATATGAATTTGAAACACTAAGCTGGAGTAAATTGTCAAATTAGCGCCCCGGTAGCATAATGATTTCTCAAAACTGAAAGTAGAAAAATGATGAAATGTATAAATCATAGAAAACATAGTATCTATTGTATTATATATACATAGAAATAAGAAAGCATATTGATGAGCACTGATTATATGTTAGCTGTAATGAATAGAGATGTTCTCAGTATGAATAGAGATGTTCCATGTCCTAGTACCAGTATATTACCAGTATTGATAATACAGTAGGTTACTAGCTAGATAAGTATTGATCCCTCAAAACTCGATATTTCTAAGATTGATAACTTACTCTATAAAACTTTTATTTTCCTTCTGGCATTTACAAATGACATTTACTCCTATATTTCCTTCATCACAATCTCCAATCATCTTATGTAAGATAGGTTCAATGTAGCTAACTAAAAGCACTGAAGTATCCCAATGGTTGGACATTTGAATTAGAATTATATTTTTGTATGTTTGAGTTAAACCTGAATTTGCAAGTTACTACATGAATCAGGAATTGAGTTTCAACAGTTTGTATAGGGTATATTTAAATGACTCTTCTCTTTAATTTGAAAGGTAGATACTGGTCTTTAGGTCTTATGTTATTTTTTGGGAATCGGAAACCATTCCCAGTTCTATATCGTGAATACAACATCGATTTTAACCTTGAAAGTTCCTATGAATCCTGGAACTGTGATCATTAATGAAGAAGTTTTAAAAATTTTGTTAACTTAAAGAAAACATGCTATCTGTAGGAAGCAGGAAAAGAGAAAGAATCTGATGGAATAGAACTATTGCCTTTATTGCTACCGGTACACAGTTTCGATTGTTTTAAACATTTGATTTGGTTTATTGTAAGTTTGTAAAGAAAATAATAGTGATTTTACAGATCTAGTATCATTGTCTTTAGTTAAATGCTGAGTAGGTGATTTAAAGTTTGGCTATTGACAACACTGAAGGTCAATAAATGTGTCCAATAGGTCAACAGAACAGAGGAGAAAAATGTAGCCAATCGTCCATTGTGTATATGACCTTGTACTATTTCAAAGTTTGACTGTACAGTTAGAAAATAGAGAGTCAATATTGACATCAAATATGTTGCCAGCACATTGGTGACAGTCTTTACAATCTCCACATGCTTTTAATTCAAATATATACTTTCATCTCTTATTATAGTACTTTTACACTTACAACCTTACAGTGTTAACTATCATACCACAATGTATTAAATGCCAATCATGATATTTTGTTGCATGCTTCCTGATCTGACTTAAATGTAATGCATCTCTTGTTCTGGTGGGTCATTTGATATTCACCCAACCAAACTCTTTGTTTGTGTGAGGAATTATGTGATATTTATTGTTAAACATTGACATGTATGTCAAAATTAAGCTGAACACAATTTAAAGAAAAATCTTGTCAGATCATGGATGGCAAGTGGAGTAACCTGCAGAAAAATCATGAAAAAACTGATGAATATGGAGCTAGCTTTTTTGTTGGATTTAGCACACTAAAAATCACCACTAATATATGTTCATTTACATAAGTAAGATGATTGTGTTCTCAATAAGATTTAACTCCGACCTGGCTAAAAAATGTGAGATGAAATTTGATGAAAAATTGTTAAAAATTCTCTTCAATTAAGTAACAAAATACTTATAGTTTGTGTTGCCTTTATTTGAAGGATATACCATTGCTTGCTTCTTTTCCTGTCCTGTTTCTGGTTGATCTTCATAAATTTGGGAATGACTCATTCTTTTAAAAATAAACCTTAGGTCATAATTATTAAAAAAATCACAATAATTCCTTATTTAGATTTCAACACTCGATGGTAATTTGAACCAAAAATAGATCATGTACATGTTGAACATGTATGTCAATGTTCATTGTCGTCATTTGAGGACAGGAAAATACAATATCATTGGAGGAAAAGAAATAAATATTATGTTTTTGAGGTCAATATGGACCAGTTTGGTACATTGAAATAATGAAACATCTAGAGCAGTATTGTCAGGGGAATCACATTATCAGCTCTTCAAACTGAATGACATGGTTAATTTGATTTTGAATATCTTAGTAATTCAAATTGAAGTTATCAATTGGATTTTGAATTGAAACTAGATTGGTAGTCATGAATAAAGTAATTTGTTACTGGTTGAATTTTAAATGAAAATTTATTACTTTTGAGAGTATATAATCAATGTTAGTCATATGACAATTTGCGAATGGAATTATATTTTGATTATTGACTGTAGTTGTAAAAATGTAAATTGAAACAAAACTTGAACTATGCTGCTACTCAGAGTTTCATGCTTTGCAATTTTTGGACAACCAAAGATCATATAGCATGAAACTCTTGAGTAGCAACATGGTTGAAGTTCTGTTTTAATATTTCTATTACTAAATTGTTGTACAATTGATATATTGAGCACTATTTTAACAGTAATGCTGGTATTTAGATCAAATCTAGTAGAAGGGAATGAAAGAATTTTATGTCCATTGAGTAGTACTTCATTAGATGCTTTCGATTGAAAACTGTTGATACCAAGACCCTGTAATATTTTCTATCTATTTTTATTGATCTTTCTCTATTTAGCCTCTTACAGTTCTCATATTTTATATCAAAGACATGAATAAGTCAGTTGTTACTTGGAAATGTTGATTCTTTCTGAGCATCAATTCAATAGAAACAGTAATCTGGATATGTAGATTAAATTGGCTATTTATATGTTTGATCAACATGTGGCCCTCCATCTCTTTCGACCACTTAATGCTCACATGAGCAGATTTTCTTCAACTGTGTATGCTTATGTTGGTGAAATTTTGATGCTTGCAGATTTTGAATGAGTAGATTTGAGTTATGGTCCAAAATCATTGAAAATGGCTTCTTTCATGAATAAAGTTGAAGATTTTGTGTATATCTTTAAGATCCCATAAAATAAGCTGCTGTCAGAATGTATGTCATATAAGCTTATGTCAATTGGTTGAGAATTTTACGATTAATCAATGATAATGGAAAAACAACGTAGAGATTAAACAATCTTGTCCCTGCATTGTAAACCTGAAACTTATTTATCATGTTTCTATTCAATTTAGATAGTAAAGCCCATATTATATTATCATATGTATAATATTATTATGTCGTAATTTTATCATATATTATTGACTTATAAATACATATTATGTAAAATAGAAATTGATTGAATTCGCATATTCCTGATTGTTTTAATGATAATGGTTTTTTTGTCTTTGCAGAAGGGGTACCGCAAGTTTACTATTTTGGACCATGTGGAAAATACAATGCTCTAGTCTTGGAATTACTAGGTCCAAGTCTAGAAGACTTGTTTGACCTTTGTGATAGAAAGTTCTCATTAAGAACAGTTCTCATGTTAGCTATTCAGTTGGTAAGTATATGTCATGTCTCTGAAATGCCAACAGGCCTCAGGCTTCTGTGTCTCTCATTGGATTTTACAAGCTTAGTCATCCATCTCTTATCTGTAGAGTTTGTTAATTCCTATTTCTACATATAAAATATTGATGCCTGTTATTATCACATGTATAAAGACCAATACTTGCCATATTTAGACATTTGGTTGAAATGTTTAAGATCATATAATACTATAGATCATATCTTTCACTTAAATTTGTTTTGAAATTACATTGGTAGTAAAGGAGAAAAATGTTATACAGCAAACTAAAAAAAGAAAAGATACTAGGTTAATTTAAAAGAAATTTTTAAACTGAAATAGAAAAATTCACGTGGTAGAATGTTATAATTAATTTTGAAGCCAATATTACCACATAAAACCATTTAACAATGAATTTGTCTGTATAATTGATTTGCTTTGTATGTCTGTGTTATTTTCGTCTACAGTGAATAGACTATGTTGTTCAACAGTTTTACGAATAGACTAATATGTAGAAATATCAAAATCCTGTGGAAAATTTGAAGTTGAAAAGGGTGTGGACTAAAAACTACTGAAAGGCAAATGAAAGGTGGTGTGCTTGTATCATGTACAATGTACTCCATGACCTCTATATAATCTGACATGCATTGGAACAGATAAATATATCTGATTTAGTATGAGTGTCATAGTACTCTTAAACTTCTAGAATTAAATGTCATTTACCACTTCTGTTACAATTTATAGATCGTCAGTGACCTTGATTTTACCATCTCCACTAGTAGGGGCTGTCTAAAACCAATCATGAGTGATCTTATTTATGACCAAATTTTGATTTGATAGCTAAATCTTTCTGACACTCTTCATATATTTAAAAATATGATGAAACATGAACCTAACTAGTGTCAGAATTCATAGCACAATATACAGAACGACATAACATAAGACAGAAATTAATCGAGATAAAAAAAATAGATTTGAGATTGTTGCAATTGTCATAATATTCTGAAGTAAAAATTCACAGAGTACACTGTATATATATACATTTTCAAATGGTTATATTATGTAAGTAAAGACATTGGAGAAAGTAAGTCAGTGACTTTCAGACAACAACAAAAAAGCAGTAGAAGATTTAATGAGATTAATGACCACAAAACATGTCTATCAAGTCAGAATTTTTAAAAGTGACATTTCTTTTGCTGTTCAGTTTATTATAAAACTGTCTGTAAATCCAATAGTCTAATTATTTGAAAATTGCCTCAAAAGAAAAAAGTCTATTCCTGAACCTAACACTTGAATATGTAGCCATTCTGTGTTAAATTCTTATCAGCAACCTTTGTGAGACTGTTATTGATGAGTATTTGATAATACTAGTTAATGAGATCTATAATACAGCTGAGATTAAAGCTATAGATACGACTTTCCAACTATTCACAGTCTGCTTATATCTCTTAATCAGTGGTCAATTATTTTGATTATTATTTTTATTGTGAGACAATCCTGATCAGATTATTAATGCAGCCATCACAGATAGTTCTAGTGTTGGTAAAATTCAAATTATTTGCATAAAAAGGTCATTAATTTATATTCTATGCTATATATATGATATCAAGATACATATCTGTATCAAAGATGAAGAAAACTTGACATATCACAATTCCTAATAATTAAGATATCCAGAAGCTTTTATTCAGTTTACCTATTGAATTTGACATGGTACTTCTGGATCTGTTCTGATACATGAATTACATTGTATCAAATAACATGTTATTCCTGAAAGTTGCATGTATTAAACCTGACTAGTGTTATCAAGAATAATTTGTGATAGAAAATATCAAGTGACAAGCCATAACTAAATTACCTTTTTTTTTTTCCAGATAACTCGTATGGAATATGTGCATTCAAAACACCTCATATATCGTGATGTCAAGCCTGAAAACTTTCTCATTGGGAGGCAATCGACTAAAAAACAGCATATCACTCATATCATTGATTTTGGACTGGCCAAAGAATATATAGATCCTGAAACTAATAAACACATACCTTATCGGGAACACAAGAGTCTTACAGGAACAGCCAGATATATGAGTATTAATACACATTTAGGAAAAGGTAAGAATAAAATGGTTGACTTGTTGCGACTATGTCTTCAAGGCCCCTTTTTCAGATACTTTGAAATGAAAATAATTTTTATGAGAAATGACAGACCTGACTGAAACTAGCCTGCTGTGATCAGTTCAAATTCACCAAATACCACATCACTGACCTGAATTACCAGTAGGGTTGGGTAAAATAATTGAAATAATTGATTATTGTCGCTAGGAATTTATAATTTTGATTATCGAAATACACAATCAATTTAATGTCAGCGTTATATTTTCTCCCATGTACGTACAGGTTAACAAGTCATAATTTCTTGCACATAGTTTCCCTTCCCCACATCACTTACCCATATTAAACTATAATAACCGTTCAAAGCAATAATAAGACTTCTATGACACAAAGATAACCCATGGAATTAAAAATTTCTCACTTAGAATATTTCGATTATTATTATTTTGCCGTTAATAATCGATCGCAATTTGGTAATCAATACCCAACCCTAATTACCAGTTGTGACTTTGAATCAGATCATGAGCAATTGTTGCCAATATAATCCATATTCAGTTTATCAAACTAGAAATATTCAAACCCTGTACACTTCATTTTATCTGAAGAACAAAATCCCTTTATTTTGATTTTGAAGACACAAGATACTATTCAGTACTTTAGTAAAATAATCAATAAATGCAAATGTATTGAATTCCAGTCTGAATTGTAAAACAGAAAATAGAAATGTTTTAAGTTAAAAGTGATATTGATTTTGTTATAATTTATAGTAAATTGAACATCAGTATTGATTTTTATAACTAATTAAATTGTATTGTATTGATGAATTTACAACAAAAGAACTTGTTAAAGAGATTTTAATTATTGCTAAGCTCTGTCAGAAGTCATTAAGTTTTGTCATGCATACACAGTAAAAATATATAATTATCTTTACCAATAAATTGACTTGCATCTGGACATAGATTTTGGAAGTGATTACCTAATATTGGTTTATAAATATTAGAATAAAAAATGGTCTGAATAAAAACAATTTTAATACCATTTGACTAGAAAAAAACAGAAAAGTGCTTGAAATTGAAATTAGATTACAAACACAGAACTGTTAGTCAAACATTTGTGCGTTTCACATAAAGTTGACGTGATTAAAAAAAAAAAAAAATTGAAAATATGAATCAATGAAAAGTTAAACTCTTATGAGAAATATCTACCTGAAAATGTGTCTTTAAGTCTTAATCTCGAACCCTATATAATTATGTGAGTCACGTCTGTTTTTATTTTTATTATATTTTTATTCAGAACAAAGTCGGAGAGATGATCTGGAGGCATTAGGACACATGTTTATGTATTTTCTAAGAGGAAGTTTACCATGGCAGGGTTTAAAAGCTGACACATTAAAAGAAAGATATCAAAAAATTGGTGATACAAAACGTGCCACACCTATAGAAGTTCTTTGTGAAAACTTCCCAGGTAATGGGCAGTAATCACTTTGTCTAAGATCTGAAATATGACAAGCATCTGATTTTGCTTGAGATTTAAGGAAATTGAAGAAGCTTCATATTCTAATTTGAGTTATTCTCTTCATAATAGAATGGAGTGATGCAATAGTATAGATTCTACGACAATATAGTACAGTATCAACAAATGTTTGAATAAATAATGTAAAAGCATAGTACCTCTATTTTCTTATTGTATTTGCTTATAAAGGTATGCAAGTTGCTTCAGGAATAATATTTAGAATCTTAGAACAGAAGTGACTCTGTTAATGGAAATGATTTATTTGTTTTTTTTATTTTAGAAGAATTGGCCACATATTTACGTTATGTTCGAAGATTAGATTTTTTTGAAACTCCCGATTATGACTACCTGAGAAAATTATTTTCTGAATTAATGGAGAAAATGAATTATGACTGTGATTGGCAATTTGATTGGGTGGGGAGACAAGTAGTAAGTATGAAATATAAACCCTTAATTGTATGCTTTCTAGTTTTAGACAACAATGTTCTCATCAAATCATCCCTTGTCATTGTTGTATTGTCTCATGGAATTTAGAATCCTTTTGTCATTTTTGTGATTATTATTGTTTTAGAAATGCAGATATTTTGATATATATAATAGTTTGAAGCATATTTCAGATCAATAAAATAAGTTTGGATTTCCATTGAAATTTGAATTCAATGAGAAAATCTAATGTATTTTGTGGATCTTAAATGTGTTCGGTATTAATGTATATTTTTCATCATGTAATTTATTTCAGTCTACACCCATTTCAATCAGTGCATCAGATAATACTGGACCATCACCACAACGAGATCATCGTACCAGACACGATACCGGCATGAATAGGGTATTTATTATAGATTATCATTTATACTCTTGATATTACAACTTCACTAGCACTAATAATTCTCTACCTCTCTATTGCTAAATTTATTAGAAATTGAAGAAAAAGCTAAATTTGGGGTACAGCAATAAACTACTATCTATTGCAAATTTCCTAGAAAATGAAGGAAAAGTCTTTATCTAGTTTATAGTAATAAATGATAAGTCGATACATTAATATTACAATCAATAGTATTACCATGTCATAATTTATGTATCAGAAAGTGTAAAATAAGCTGATATATTTTGCAATATTTCACTAACTATGTTTAGATGTTCCCATTGTGTGGTGGTTTAAGTGCTAATGAAATTGTAAAAGTAATAATACATGAAAGGTCATTCATTATCAATACCTAATATATTGATGAAAAACTGTGAAACAAGGGTTTGTCAAGGAAGGGCACTGCTGTGGGAAAACATAAAAACTGTGTAATTATTTGTAATTTGATCAAGATTAATTGAGGTGGTTTCGAAATTTCAGAATGAAAAGATTTATATCAAATGAAAACAAATGAGAATTTTTCCATCAGAATATTATAAAAAGTTTTGGGGTTAATGGCCCTGATTTAGCCACAATTGACTTGTGAATGTGATAGAGTTCCACTTAGTTCTGATGGCATTTGGACAAAGCTTCCATCAATCCATTTTTTTCAAATAAATATTCACTATGTCATGCTGTTGAAAAAAACTTGTTTCACTTGTTATTATTTAAGATGAATTATTCTTTATATAGATCTGCTTCTTTATTTGTTCTGTTCTCTTCTGTTCTCTTCTGTATACTTCTAGATATATTGCATGATATTTAGTGTTCACAATTCATTTCATTATCATTCTAATTTTTGTTTTGTTCATTCACTATCATTATTTCCTTATACTGAAATCCCTTACTTTCACTTTATCTTTCTCATAGTCATGACTATATTAACTCTTGCACATTCACCATCAAATGTACTCTGCAGTCAACTTTGCTTTTACTGTTTTAAGAGTGGATTGCCTCTAACTCGAACAACCTCAAGACAATGAGGTTCACATGCATCTCTTCTTATTTGGAATAAACTAAAACATGATTAAAACTTGTATTTAGTAGTTTTCATGCAACTTTATCTTTTTGTATATTCTCTCCATCAAAACCTCATTGACTAATCTTAATAACAGCACCTTGATGATACCCAAACCACAGACATTGGATAAATAATAAAATGACAACCAGCATGTACAACTATCTGCAATCATTCAATTATTTTTAACACTGGACAGGTTTAATGACACCATAATTTTAAGCAATACAAACACAAATTGAATAAGTTTTTACATTACAGTTCACAAAAAAAAATTAGTTTCTGCCTTGGAAACATTGACAAATCTATAAATTAAATGAAAATATGTTGGTTTACAATGTTCAGGGTCACAAGAATTAAGTGTCACTTTGTTGAAAGGTGCCCCTCTGAAGGTTTACATTTTCATTGTGTGGGGTGAAAAATTTAAATCCATGAATACTTCAACTAGTAAAAATAGCTAGTAGTAGGGTCTTCAATCAATGTGCAATTTACAATTTGGTCCAAACATCATGCCCAATTATGGTTTAGAATAGAACAGAAATTTCTAACCATGAAATTTCTTTCTCCAATTCTGCCATTATTGCATGATAATTAGTTATATAAGCACAATAAGCAGATAAAAACTGCTTTTCACCTTTTGATAAAGCATTTCAGAAAGAAATATAATGTTCAACTTACATAAAAACAAAATAGTAATAACTACATTATATTCTCTGGTATTATCATAATACCATTATATCGGGTAGCCCTAGTCAATAACTCTCTGAAAGCTGACATTTCTACTGATGTGTGCTTATGAATTGAATACAAACCATACATTAGATTTTCATTTTGAATAAAGATAAGAATACTTTTGTTTGCTGGAAGAAAAACCATTCTTATAACTTATCCCTTTAAAGTTGATATTTGACTGTTTAAAACCTTGAGTTTAGAGATATCAACGTGCCGTTTTCCGAAAAATAGTATCAAATTTCTTTGTTTCCTCTTTTCCGTCATAATTATAAATGATTAAAGTATAAACGCAGGGTCTTTAGTGGCTTAATATTTATTAGAGATAAATCAAGTCCTGAAGAAATCAAAGAGAATTAAGGGATACTTACCTTATTACCTATTGAACTTGATCTGTTTGATGTTTGCTTAATGGCTTCATCCTTTGATTTCAAATTACAAATTTTCTTTCACTTCTCACTAAGGCATTAAGGCACATTACAGTTATTTTGATTTGGTCTGATTTGAATCTATCATTGCTATGCTTGTATCCTTCCACATTATGTAGATTGTTTACCATGTTGACTGAGATGGAATTAAGAATGTATCTGTAAGATGTGTAGCTTAGATTCTGCTTTTTATGTTGATTGGGAATGATCGTTACTATCAATGATTTGCTAGAATAGATTTTATGTTTAGTTAAGTTTAATCACATATTGAAAAAAATCTCGAAGCTTTTTTTTATAATTTCTATGAAAATTTTAATTGAAATATTTTCCATTGTGCTGTGACTTTAACATCACTAATTTGCCTTTCAGTCCAGTGCAAACACACGGGGGCATGCGTGGGGAGAACAACCGCGACTCTCTGATAATTTTCTGGGTGCTAACCTAGCCTCTAATAGGCATGGGGGTTCTGTACAGGTACGAACACTCTGTCTTTATATTTTTCAATTTATATGTTATTTTATCATGGAATCAAACTCTGCAAGATATGGAACTAATGAGCATAATCTGCATAAATTTATTTCAACTTCTTGTAAGACATTTTAATATCTGGATAGTTCAATTTTAGCCAGTATTTTGAGTAAAGTTATTACTAGGTGCTTTGCCTCTAATTTGAAAACTAATGGAGTTACTTCCCATGAATGACCCTTGGGTTTCCTTTTTCCTCTTTCCTATTTACTTTCATATTTTCTTTACTTATAACTTCTATAATTCATTATGAAACACATTAATTCTTTTCCGAATAGTTTTATTAATATTTTTCAATTTACTGAGTTCAATTTTTGATAAATCAAATTCCAATATTAATGATCTGCTTAGCCTTAATGAAGTTTTTGTGAGCTGCTGATTAAACATGCTAGCTTCCGTCGTTTTCAAACTAACAATAGTGTGATATACTTGTATCTGTTTACTTATAACATTTATTATCAAAGACTTGTTGAAAGGCAACAAATTAAATCTGAGAGTTATCACTCATAATTTTTCTCCAATGTCAAATTGATTCAATTACAATTCAATACTTGTTCAATAAATGTTGTATGAAATTGTTGTCAGTATATTGATCATAGATTTTGATATTCCATTGTTACTAATGATATTTACTAATTAATGCTGTGTTGATATCTAATCATTGCTTGTACTAAATTATCAACTTTACATATTAATCCAATCATGATAATTTATTGGTATTTCTTGAAATATTTTTAATTCATACTGCTTATAAAGATTATCAATTACAAATATTTTCTGCCTAGATAGAAGATTTTCTAACACTTTTTTTTTCTCAAGATTTTATGATTTCAGTTTTTTTTTTGCGAGTTTGCTTGACTTATCACTTGTGCATCATGAAATTTTGATTTTGTTTTTCTGGTTTATTGCTTAGAGTAAAATTTTTTTGCTCTGCTTGGTAAAATTTACATCTTACCAATAGCTCTATAGTATATTGGCATAAACAAATTGATATGGAAGCCATCTGGACTATTTGAAGAATTGGGATGTTGATTTAATTATATGCTTATATTTGTAGGTGGTGAGTTCAACAAATGGTGATTTAGCTCCTGATGATCCTACAGCTGCCCAATCTAACACACCTATTACTGCTCAACCAGAAGTTGAAGTGGTAGATGAAACGAAGTACGTATATTTACCACTGAACTCAAATATAGATATATATCAGAAAATACAGAAAATGAATTTCCTTTACATTAAATATAACCGCAAAATAGTTGCATTCCTGTATTTTATGTGGACAGGATTAATGATAAGATGATGGAAGAGACAACAAATATTGTATATTAGGCAGGTTTTTACACCAAAAAGGTTCCAAACTGAACGGGTTGTCACTATACAGTGAAATATATTTTGAGTATGTTCTTAAAGAAAATGAATTTTTTACAATTTGAGAAGGAGTTCACATGTGCACTATATTTGCAATTACACAGTATATACAAATGCCATGGTCAGTCAGAAATCAGATTTATCCAAAAGCTACATAAAGCTTGATAATATTTTTTTGTGTTGAATGAATACAATATACATACATTTTCATGTAATTAACAAATAAGTACCGTACAGTTATTGAGGTACATAATAGGCAATACTGATATAGTGAACTACATTCAATCTACAAGACAAGTTTTACCACAAAATGATTACTGAATTATATTTATTCCCATATTTATTTTTTATCATTTCTACTAACAATTACTACTCTTTTCTGGCAAAAAATGCTTGCTCACATTGCTTTATTATTCTCAGTGCTAAAAGTTAAGGATTGCCTCTGGGTATTAAAAAAACTTGGCATTGACAGTAGCTTGGACGTTTGATTTCTCTCTGATTTCAGGTGCTGTTTCTTCAGGCGCCGAAAGAAAAAGAAAGGTCGACAATCATAAAGGAGTGGATCTCATCAACTGCTTTAGACTACTGTTTCTCTTCGGCTAGACTATGCTGTTATCAACCACTTCTTTATTTATTACTCCCCTTTATCTTATCTACCTTCAGCAGTTTGTCTACTCAGCGTAAAATCTTACGCAGAGTTATTATTGCTTTCTGATGCAGGTGCTGCACGTGCTGGTATGGAAGACGAAAAAAAGGAAAGAAAAAAAGAAAGAAATGACTGCCAGCATTTGGCCAGGCTCCAGATACAGTTTTATTACAGCACCATGATCCTTCATCATCACCAACAGTAGACGTGGAATCATCGTATGATGTCCTTGAACCTGCATGGCATAGATTAAAACTAAATCTTTATCCTCCAGACTCTTTAGGGCATGTCAACCAGTCCTTTTTATGATGAACAGTTCATCTTATTAGTCACCAAATTAAGTCTTAAAATCTGTGCCATATACATGGATTACTGTGAAATTAGACATCGATGAATATTGTTTTCATCAGTGTATTTCCTCTGATCTTTTCGTACATCAAGTTAGGGTTTTAGTTCATTGTTTTTATGGTATTTTGAAGAAATTTTAGAAGAAAAACTTGTCTTTCGAGAGGAAAACAAATATTATTAATTCATCATTTAAGTAATAAAACATCTAATATTCTAAAAGTGCTGTATTCAACGTTATTCCCTTTGCTAGCTTCCAAATCTGAAGAATTATGACAATTTTCATTTTGTTATCGATCTTTTGATAGTGAGTTTTGAGGATAAACATTGAATTTTTCTATGATTAATGAATGACTGAAGTGTGTTTGTGTGCTTGGGTTGTGTGATAGAGACATTTTTAAGAACAAATAAAGTTCCATTTAAATGAAGGCTAATAATTTTTGATTAACAATAATAATATTTTATGAATTTAATTTTTCAACACAATTTGCTTCGTATATATTCAGAATAAAGCCAAAGGTTAATGATAATCTTACTTGTAAGCCATTTGACAACTCCTGCCCATACATGACCTATTATAACATTGATACATTATAAAACCTTACCTATAGTCTGGCCAAATGGAAACAAGTCTTTTGAATATATTAAAGATATATTATCATATTTTGTAAATAGTACAGAAAACATTGCATGATGATTGTAAATATTCAAAGCTGATGACTAAAAAAAAATCATAAAAGTTGAAAAAAATGTAGGCAAAATACTATTATGTAATATGTGTATAAAAGAGGACAAATTATAAAAATTTATGTAAATTTTCTTGATTTCACTTTTAATAAATTTCAGTTATCTGCGTCCTCTTTGATTCTATTTCCTTCTCAACACACTATTTTTCTTTTGTTGTTATAGTATAATTTTGATGTTTCAAATATTTGTTATTCTACAGATTGTGGGAATTATGTATAAATTGCTGATGATATAGTTTAATTCATGTCAAATATGAAGGCCAACAAAGACTTGAATGTAAAATATGTAATGAATATTTTTTTTAGATCATTCTAAGATTTTACCAATATTCATATCAAAATATTGGGTCCTGTACAATTATTTTTTAAATTCGCCATATTTAAGACCTGAAAATATCTATTATAGGCTTAAACTGAAAATCAGGACATTTAAATACTAAGATACTCTCTTGGTTAATTCAAAACACATATTCAAATTTTTGTCCACTATTTTTAGATTCATGCAACAATAACTGTTTATTTCACTATTATTTTTTTATTATTTTATGTATATATAAATATGTAATAATTGAGTTTTAATGTGATTCATTTTTTGTATTTAAACTCTGCTTTCAGTATTTATGTTGAATTTTGTTTCAATGTCTTAATTCAACATCAAAATAGATTAACTTCTTTCCTTTTTCTTAATTGGCATTTTAAGTCTTGATTTTGTGTTTGAACAATTGTCTCTATTTGTTAAAGGAATACTACCTCTTGAAATGGACATAGAATTTAAAGTCTCAAATTTGGTCAACAAGTGTATACATTCATCAGTTGAACTTACCAAGTACCATGACTAAAGAATGGAATTTTTATATAACATTAGATTATAGGGAGATTCTATTGTATAGTTTTTACACCAGGTTAGTCAATTGATGAACAAAGACTCATTTTGGCTAAATTTAAAAATTTCAATTTTTTGGTCATCGTAAGTGGTAGTATACTTTTAAGATACAAAATTGCTGGACACAGGTTCTGTATATCATGGTCAATTTTCTTTATGGTATGTTCATAGTCGTAATGCTTGACCATTTACCCAAGGATATTTATGAACACAAACTCAAGGCCATCAAATTTTGTATCTGTCTGTATAATCTTCAGTTAGAAGAGATATATGTAATTTATTTAAAAATTGTAAAATAATTTTAATACATACAGTATGCTATTATTTGGTTTTTAAGTTCAGAAATATTGTCTATATAAAATACATGTATCATATAGAGAAGGACCACCGACTTAGTTTTATAATGAAGAAATCAAGTGGTCATATGAAAAATGATATCTACATGTTTAGATTAGGCTTTTATATAATATTACTCTTAATTTAGCAAATCTTACATTGACAAATTCTTAATTTTGTAACGTGGAAAAAAGGAAAAAATGTTGATATCATACACATGAAAATGTTAAAAGTTGAAGTTAAAGGATTATTTTATTTAAAGACATTTATGTCAATAATAAATCATTTTATCAATATATCAAATAAGAAAGGATGTTGTATAAAAGCCTCAAACCATTAGATAAGAATTCAGCCTTTGACTAAGCAGATATAAAGTATATAAATTGTAAGTTATAATCTTTTTTCTTTCTGAATGTCTGTTATTGTATTGAAATAAAATGTCATTGCTGAGAATGAAAATTATTGTGATTTTGATTCCTTATTGTGCCATGGAGCCAACAACTTTTCTTGGCAATAATTTTGGTTATGTATGAAGCTAGCTTTTCACATGGCTTCTTATTGACAATTGAATATTCAGATTGAACTGTGCTAAAAATATACTGAGATGTCATGCAATTTATACTCTGTCTGGGAGAACATGTAAGATGACAAAGAATTCAGAAAACAGCTTTTAATTGAAATGTGAGTATACTATTATTCTGCATGGATCTACAATTATTTACACCCAGTTGAATACATTAAATTTCCAGTTATAGCTCTAGAAACCTGTTGAACATCGATAAGAAAATAACTGTCCAGACCTTTAACCTCAATAGAATGATCATTATACACGCCCACACGAAACTTTGTTCAATACAAAAGAAGACGGAACTAATTCACAAAAACTTAGGAATCCTCTGCTGCACAATCAACTTTTTAAAAGTCGTATTTTGTTCAGTATTAGCCCAAAAGATTAAAAAGAAGTGTATGACTGAAGGTTGATTATATCATACTGGTAGTGAGCGTATAATATCTTCAATCTACCAAGTTGAAAAGTCAAACTCAAAGAAAGAAGATAGAAGATCAGAATTTGTTTCATAAAATATCTCGATAATCACTCTTTAGGAATTCATACGATCTACTTGACTTCTTTATCTTTTGACACGAAAATTATTTTAGCATTTGCTCCAAATTATTATTTCCCTAAACATATGTCGGTAAATATATTCTGTTTTTAGGTGGAAAACTATATCTCATAGGATTATTATTCATTTATGATGGTACATGGTACTTGATAATAGTATAGAGTTTTCCAATGGAGACTTTTGAATGTTCATACCTTAAAACTATCAAGAGTATACAATAACAAAATATCACTTTTAAAATAGTTCCCAAGACACACGAAATTGATCTTATAGTACCGATTTATTTTAATTTAAAAAAAAGAACATTACTTTATATTTGACAGTATTTATAAAATCTGAATATTTAGGTTGACGTTTATAGACACTTATAGCCTATAAGATATATTTGATCTATTTGAATTTAAAAATGCATTACTTTTCCTTGACATGAATAACATCTGTATTTTCTTGTTGACTTTAAACATTTTTAAGGTATAAAAAATATGTGTAAATAGTCTACAACAAAATACAAGATATGTCTATAATATATACTATACAGGAGATATCATTCTCCGTCGGGAAACTTTTATTTTAGAAGATCAATAGTAGATCTTGATAGCAATATTGAGTTTTCCGGACCTCGGTGAATCTTTGTCACTAACAATTAAGTTGTAACCTCAAGTCAATTAATAAAAAGTGACATTAGATACTTTTATTAGTTTTATTTCTTATGCTTTTCGTGATAGTTAATAAGAAAACAATATGAACTGAGGGAATTGGAATGCCAGGATTAATGAATGAAGTCACTAAATAGTACCCCTCTAGTAAGGTCAGACACCTACTAAATTCAACAATGAGGCATTTAGATTAAAGAGTCCAGTGGGGTTTCAAGGAATTATTAGATGGAGGGACGGCCCCGTCAAGAGGGGCAAACACCTTTAGGCATTTAACGATGAGAAAAAGATACATAACAGGTTTGCGAGCCATTGGAAACTAGTGAATCCGTGCATCATTCCATAACACTCCAATGCCCCTATTGCACAAAAGTAGGATGTAAAACTCCATTAATATCTTCTGCTGTTCGGTGAATGCACATGATTCGCGAGTAAAATTACTTAATACATTAATATAATGATTATGTTTAATTGAAGCAACATTTGCTGAAAAGAAAAACATAAGCTTAAATAAGTTTGGAGATGACCTTATATGTTTATCATTCAATATTGATGGTAGTTACAGGGTGAACGAAATCAATTTGATAGATATAATAGATATAAGATTACTTCTTGGAATTGCCATGTACGGAAATATTTATTCACAACAGAACTATAACTAATTTGCTATATCCGAAACCATCATTGCGTTGAAAATATCAAATCATCTGCAATCCGTCTATGAAAAACACATTATGGCATTATATAGACACAGCTTTATGGAACACCAATCACTGGTTAAAGTTTTATGCAACGTTTCCCCCGTCGTCCTCCGGCACATAATGATAAGAAGTGATGGGCAAACTTATTATCATTATGTGCTTGAGGACGACGGGGGAAAAACGTCGAAACGTAGCGTAAAACTTTAACCAGTGATTGTTGTTCCATAAAGCTGTGTCTATATATCGTACTCACAATTGCTAAATGCCATTCAAAGACTTTACATCATGGCTTATTTCTCAAATTATACATGTATGTTTCTTAAACACATCTTTCAGAGTTATATATATATATGTATGTTATTACAAGCCAAAGATTTTAATTCTAATAGTCAACGAATAGTAAAGTTTGGAAAATGAGATTTAACCCAAAATACGTTGTTGGGGTGATCTAATTTTACTTGAAAACGTTTATCTACTATTTACTTATTCCTGGGAGTGCAAATTAGTTCTATTCTTGCACAAATCACTTTAGTATTAGGGTGGGGATTTTCATCTTCTGCATCCTTCTAATGTAATTGTCCTGCTATGCTGACTTTCACTAAAGGAGATTCAGACCATTCAGGTATGTGTACACAGTAAATCAAAGTTAGGCCATTCGTTACAGAAAGTTGTTCCTACCGCGTTATCTTTCTTTCCTTACAGCTGTAATTGTTTGCGGGAAATCGATAAAGATTGTAGAGATTGACAATAATACGTCAGTGGCACGACATAGACCATCTTAAATACCATTTTATTTCTTTACCTACCGTTTAACTTTATTTTAGTCTTGGTTATCACAGTTTTCAAAGCAAAACAGGAAAAAAATTTAATTCATTATAATTTTTTATCAACTGTGGTACTTAACAGTTTGTTGCATTCTGACGCTATATTTTTTAAGAAATTTAGAGAATTTAATAAAGAAATGTTGAACAGAAAGTGAATTTATGATGATGGAGATAGATTTATCTAATAATTCTATAAACAATACAACTAGTAATTATAATGATAGTGAATATTATTATTATGATTATGATATTTCTGTGTCGAGTATTCCGTTAGGTGAAATCCTACCTCTAACTTTAGCTTATGGACTAACGTTACTTATTGGTATAGTTGGAAACTTTTTGGTGATTTTTGCTGTTTGCCGATATAAAAGATTACGGAGCATAACGAACTCGTTTTTAACAAGTTTAGCGATAGCTGATTTATTGTTGTTATTAATATGTATACCAATAAAGGTAAGTTCTGAAAATATGTTACCATTAAATATATCCTTTCATACCAGGCATTCTTATGATCATCTTGAAGTAAGTTCTGAAAATATGTTACTCTTGAATTTGTTCTGTTACGTCGAGCATTGTAATGATAAGTACGCTTGAAGATTTATTCTGGAACACAAAGCGTTGTAAGAACAAATTTCGAAGTAAGTTCTGAAAATATTCACTCTCCTGAATATATTCTGATACATGTATGGATGGACAAGTTTCATTGTAAAACTGTGTTACTCTTGAACATATAAGCTGTTACACAGGGCTTTCGAAGTCAAGCTTTAACAACTCTAACCCCTAAACAGTCACTGTTTGTCAACGTTACTCATGCATTGGAAACAGAAGTTGTAAGTGGGTTATTGCACAATTCAGTAATATGCGATACCATTTGTTTGTTATAAAAGGTTGTGAAAATCTCGAAGACCATATAATCTGAGTTCTGTAACATACAGTAATAACATTTAATTATACTAAACTATTCGCTGGGTTATTTTCACGTCATTCGCCTCAATTTGTCAAGTGACGAAGCATTATTTCTGTTGAACTCTAAAAGACATAAGTATTTCAATTTCCAAGACAAACATCTTAAAATCAGACATTTTGAAAGGTTAAGAGTGTAATTAGTGTGTAAATTAATAATAAAACACACACACATTATGCTCAACAACATCTGTCATTACAAAATTGGTTTAAAACCTGCTCACTCGAAAAATGTTAGAAATGGATAAATAGTAACTCATCTTCAACATTTAAAAATCTTGCTCTCGGTTGTGATAATACCTTTGGATCAGTGACTCAGGTGCTGTCATGAAAAAACGTCTTGACGTACGATGGGGTTAGAATACCAGGCCCCTTGCGCTATAAGACTTTGCAGATCCCTCAACATTTGGAAATCAAAAAAGAGTTGGCAAAATTATTGCATGGTGTTGCCCGTCTTGATGAGCCTAATCAGGTATCAGGTTCCTGTGATTTCTTCATATTTGAAATCTAAACTAAAGACCAATTTAAAATCTTTATCGATTTAGATTATTTTCGAGAAGAAAATATTATAACTGTCATATTGGTGTCATATTTTATATAGAACTATGGTGGCATTATCGCTAAACTTGTTCTTTGTGAGTTTCTTGATGCCAAGCACGAATCCGTTGGTAAAAGTTTGAACCTGGACGAGAGGAATACTGTTTGGGTCGTAAGATTGCAGACAGTAAACTAAAGCCTTTTGTACAGATATTAACACTGTTGTGACATTATTGGCAATAACTGCATGAGAAATGTGTCAGTCTGTACGTTTTTCTTGAATTGCAATGAAATAAAATGATGTTTTGCCTTTTACCATGGCATCTGGATTTCTGAAATATTTGTTATTACACAATTCAGCTTTACTAATTATTTATGCTTTTGGAATTGTATTGCCAAGATTCATTTCTCATAATAAACATTTTTTATATTAAGTTATTCATATAATCACGTTTTCCATTTAGAAATTGTATGAAAGGCAATGTAAATATTATTGAATCGAGCCTTATATATTCTCTACACTATTGAGAGAACCATGTTGTAATCATCATGATTCCAAACGTCAAACAACCTACTAGTATGTAATAAAAGATTTCTCATTATATATTTTTTTACCGCCGCCTGTCGCTATTCATATTATATTCAATGGAATCTTTTATTGCATCCTCTGGTTTTTATTTCTCAAAAAATTTATAGGATAAGTCTCTCCCAAATAAATCTTATTAACGCTCCTGTGGGACTCAGAATTCCACTGATTTAGTTTGGTCCTTGATCGGATACTGAATGTAAGCCATGTTCTTCCTATTCTTTGACTTATTACAAGCTACCTTTGTAGAACTGAACTACATGTGACCACCCCTCGGTTCCCTCCTCACATTATTTTCTGTTTTCCACTTTGTAAGAATTGTCTCTCTTAACTAAAAAAAGATTTATAGCTTGTACAAATTATCTCCCCTGAACTAAATTTTGTTGGGGTTTAAAACTCGCCCAAATTTTTAGAATTTCAGACGTACACACCACGTCTTTCAATTCTAGAAATTAAACATGAATTGTTTTATATATTGTATTTTCAATTAAACTGAAGTGTATAGTAAGCAAAATGCAAATTCTTAGTTTATAACTGTTATTATATGTCTGGATCATTTGCAATATGTTTTCAACTTGCTATATCATTATTAGACACAGGCCTATATTACTGGTGAAAAACAATCTTTTTGACATTTCAAGTCGAGGCAGATTATATCTTACAATCGCTTCCCTTCAACATAACCCTATTTCTTTATGACATTAGTTTACTTTCAAGAATGAAAATTGATCCATAGCGTGATGTTATATCTAAAGTTGATTAAGAATTATGACTTTCTTTATTGATGGTGATTTTCCAAGGGCTGTTGGCTGTAATAAATCATAGATTTTAAGATTAGAATTACTTTTGTCTCCCGGATCAATTACATAACCAATATATTATTCTGTCTATGCTTAATGGAAAAAGTCTCGTCAGTTTCCATAAACCACACACACCAGTAAATGCATACCGGAAGTGTATTCAACTCAAGGAGGGATTCAACTTTAAAATCATAAACAAATAGTAATTCTGCTTTAACTTATGGTAAAATCCTAGTCAGTAACTTGAATATAGATAACAGATGACATATCTTACAATCACTACAGGGGATGTTTCATTGTACTTGTTAACAGAGAAATCTCAAATAGCAGTTATATAGACGTAAAGTATAGCATTTCAGTGTTTTGATGCACCTTTTGAATTTTCGATTAGCGGCAATTTGTCCTTTGTGGAAACGGTTTTCTATAATAGACGAATTATCACACTATTCTGAGATAGGAGATGTCAAAAGCTAATACGAATACAAAGGCACAAGATATTGAGAAATCATGTTGAAAGATAATAAAGTGTTATATATCGGTCAGAATTTTTCTTGAACTAAGTTCTTAGTTATAAGAACCAATTGCGTGTAAAGGAACTAGCGAGATTCAATAATCGTATAACAGTAATGAGTTACCTACTAAAATCTAATTTGTAACGTATCATATGTGATAATTACAATAATTCTATATCACATTACCTAACACTGTTCTGATTGGTATTCCAGAATATTCAATTATGAAATTGATATTCGCCAATGTTGGTGAAAGTTGCTTTGCTATCAACGTCAAAGTCGGTATTAACAGAGATTTTTTTTCTAAAAAAATGTTGAAGATAATAAAGGCTATATCAATATTAATATCCCTGTTCCTATTTCTTATTTAACTAATCTTCTAGTCTCCGTATTTATGATCAAGATACAACATCTTTAACTTTCTTCGCTTGATAGATAATTTAAAGATTTTATAAACATCTCGAACATCTATTAAAATGTAACATAAAACTTCCAAACTTGAATCCACACGAATGTTTTTCTTTTTTCAGTGTGCAGCCTTTGCTTCATTTAGTTGGACGTTTGGTGAATTCCTGTGTAAATTTGTCAATTATATGCAGAATGTGTCCATGATTTGCTCAGTAATGACTTTAACAGTAATGAGTATTGAGAGGTATGTAATTTCCATTCATTGAAAAAGGCATTGAAGTCTCATTTCCATACACCAATATCTGATATGATGAATACCATTGTTAAATTCGCTGTTGTAAGGAAATTAGGGGTTTTAATTATAATATTCAGACAGAATATCACAGAAGTTTGTAAATGCTTGTCGGATTGTGAATGCAGCCAATCGGAGTCCTCGACTGAAAAACTGTAAACAATAAACCACAATGCTTTTATTCTGTTTGTCGAGAGTCATGATTGGCTGTATTTATTGGTGTATAATCCAATCGAATCGCTACATTGTGTGATACAAGAAAGATGGCTATTAAAGTCAAGATACAATACGAAGTTACCAAAAGTTTGACGTTGTGATGATGGTGAAATCAGTAAACCCAAAAAAAACGAGGGCGACATATTTGTGTGGGTAGTGGTGACGAGACGTAGTAGAAAATACCTTTTTACTTATACAACAGAAGCCTGTACACCTGTAAATCTATGGAATTAATTGTGCTATATAATCTCATTCTTATAAGATTCCCTTTCTAAGATCTGATTAGTGACGTAACAAAAAGTCTTTAAAGAAAGAAAAGCCAATATTAATAACGTATAATTTTTGAAATGTTACCAAATCTGAAAGAACTGTGAGGGCAATCGGTCGATAAATGACCATTGTATAATATTACTTTGACATCTCAAAGTGTTTTATTAACCAAATTATATTGTCTTATAAGGATAAATCATTTCAACTGTTATATACATTTGCACCTATCGACTTTAATACCGTATCTACGGTATCTTGATATAGTCTTATTCTATAACATATCGGATAAATATAATACGGATCAGAGCTAAAGTATATAAATTGAGCAGTTTTAATTTGAATTGAAACAAGTACAGCCTGATTAAACTTTCGATTCGTTTTTATTTATTATTAGTTTGTATATTTACTAAAAATAAAAACTAATGAAAAAAACGAAAGGAGAGTTGAGTCCAATTTTAATTAGACTGAAACAGTCATTAGGTTATATTTATTTTGTTAGTCATTATCAGAGATATATATGATTTAATGCAAGGCATTCTTGCGATTCATAAAATCCGATAACATATGGATTTTCGACGGATGTTAACAAATGGTGGCATCTGAGAGAAACTTATCAACCCCTGAGGCTGTATTCACCTGATAGCAGCATCGATTGAGTATCGATGATTCTCTTGACAGGCACCTGTCGACGGCGACGGATTTGGGCATATTTATCATTAGGTTTATCAAATCAATTTGAGCATAGAGAACGTTTGAATTATCTCGCATTCTAAAAATTTAAGCTCAACAACCATCATGTGTCATGTACTCTCACAAAATAATTCCTTCATCGATACTCTTATCCACATTTAAATTGACATGGCATAGGCCTAGTCAATAACTATGGTTTATGATTAATACAAGAATTCTACATCATTACACAACTAGAACTTAGTTGTCTATATATAGACACATTGTAATAATCTTTTAATTCTTTTTAAAGATGGGTGGCTATATTATATCCTCTGAAAGCAAAATATCTGTGTACCTATTCTCATGCACGACAAATGATAGCTGCCATATGGACAACATCTTTTATCATGGCTATACCTGTATTGATTGGCCAGGTGAGTTGAAATTGATTCATTTTGTAAGTATTCCACTAAATAAAGTATGCTTAACATTCCAAAAACCCATTAAGCATCTGGTGGTGTTACCACGGAATATTTTTGGAGAGCCCGCTATTATTTGGGTTTAAGAGGTATATGTATCATAGTAGGACATTAGGCCTTGGGCCTATTTGGACATTTTCAGGAATTACGCGACCTCATCTTTAGAATACATAAAACCAGTGGCCCCAACTCGACCCCACCCAATGATTCATAGTCATAATTTATAGAGTCACTGTCTGAAATACCTTAATGATACATTCCATGGTTTTCAGAAACATATCTTAGTTGGGGAGAGAATCAAGGCTTATTGGTGTATAACTGAGTGGTCGTCAACAGAAATGGAGATATTATTTGAAGTTTACAGATTTACTCTACTATTTATAATACCCATGACAGTGATGATTATAGCTTATACTGGAATCTGTAAAGAATTATTACAATTATCATCAGTACGAGGAAATCTTACATCGTCTTCATGGTATGTTTACCTACATATATAATCTTTTTCCAGACTGCCTTACTGAAAGTCTTATGAATATTCTTGCCAATTTCTATTTTTCTCTTCTTTTTTCTATAAAATTGTAATTGTATCAACTGTATATCCGTACATTACTATATTTATTGTTGTTCTGTTGTCATTGGGGCGTAAAAAGGATTTCCTTTTAGGAAGTATTAAATGAAATGAAATGAATGGAGTTTTACGTCCTACTTTTCTGCTTAGGAGATATTGATAAATCAACATCAGGTTTTAATCGACGTATTTATACTTTATACTTTATAAAGTTCCTTAATGTTTTTCTATAGCTAAGCAAATTTGGTCTTTGAAATTTCCAAACTGAAAGTAACGTTATTACCTTGACAATCTTCTATTCTGGAATTATATATTAACAACAGCTGATGTGGTACTTGATAGTGGAAGTAATCCTAGTTGAAAATATAAATCATTCCTACAGACATTGTGGAAGATGTCAAATTTTCGTTTCAAAAGTTGATGACGACAGCTGAAGTTAAGAAAATATTTAGATGACAAGCACTGTCGATCGTAAAAACTAAAAAAACGGGGATATCAGAGTTTGGCTTTATGCAACTGATTTCAACATTCATTCAATGAATGTGGTTTCAAACGCTTCATTCCATCTTTATTTTCTAAATAAACAATCTCGTTGCCAAAATCATGTTATCAGAAAATAAATGAGTCAAGAACAATACAGATTCTTACCAATCTTTCCCAAAATTCACAAGCCATTAATGATATAGAGATTGGTAAATCGTGCGATTGCTGAGAGATGAACGATCTATGTACGGTTCGTTAATAGAAATCTGTTTTATTTACTTAGATTAACATGTTGAGGTTAATGAAGAAGAAAATGATCAATGATGCAGGGAATGTTATAAGTAGATTGATATTGTTAGGACCTGATCTCTATAGATTGCCACATGTTTCAACATACACATTCTTCTTCTCCATGTCATAAATAATATCAAGCTTGACACCTCATTTCAATACAGTCGACATCTTGTTCTACCCTATATTGGTATTGTTATGTATCCTTTGTAGATATAAAGGTTTATATGAATGGTTCCGAGGAGTTATAAAAAATTGAAAAATCTAAAAAAGAAGTCAAAAACGAGGCGTGATACTTATTAGTTTCTCTAAATCTGTAGTTGAACGTACCTCCATAATACAACTATATCTGAAACACTTTCTTTTAGTTGGTATTTGAATGTTGAAAGCATCATGATGTAGATACTGCTGTATTTCTGGAATACTTTCTCTGTATTTAAAAAGGGGAAAACCCAATAAGGTGTTGAGAGGTAGGATGTAAAACCCCGTTTTACTTCATGGTCAAATAGTTGGTCCTAGTAAACATTAAATGATCGAACGACCACCATAATGATATTGATTTAAGATGATTTTGATGAATTATTTGATGACTTTACAATTTATTTCGTTCAGATATCACTTTCCGCCTATATATTGTAAGTTTATATTGAAAATGGTTGGAAAATCGGTTTATGTATTATTTCTGCACTAAAGATTCCATTTTAACCTAGATTTTTTTTTAAGTCTTCTATTTTGTTGTAAGCAGTTGCTATAAATTGGAATTCTAATTATGTATATAAAAACTCTGTGTTAGTTAAGTTCACCTTAAGGGGTGTATTATCCTGTCAATTCATCTCGTTGGAAATATATTACTTCTTATAATTGAAGTTTATTCTTGAATGATTCCTTGACGAGTTTAGTAACAATTACAGGAAATAATGAAGCTATAATGAAGATATATGGTACAGCAAGGATAAGTTATGGGTCTTCATGCTACTGATCTCTTGTTTGTCCTTCATTATGGGTTGTCATGCACGAAAATGATGGCTTTTACGTGCCAAAAAGGTCATACTATGATAAGTTATGCTTAAGAAAAAGCTCCGCTGTCAGTGGTCTTTTAAAAATAGATAATTCAATCTCAAGTTTGGGTTGGCACATCACTTTTATTTAGGAATATTGCATGCAACTATGTGGCCTATCTATTGAACGTCATTATTGTATTGTTACTGATAAGTCGTTTAAATGATTTTCGAGGACCAACATCTTTCAGACGTCATCGTATAGTTATATCTGTCATTCTGTGATATAGCTGCTAAGTCTGCACTCCTATATTTTACTTTGTTTTTGCCATGGTTTAGTTTTGATCTATTGTACTGAATACTTCAAAATAGAATAGAAGGCAACTCAAGTCCTGGTCATTTCAATTACAAGTATTTCTGAAGACTAATTGAACTTTCAGTACTCATTGCTTTTCCATTTATTTCTTCAAATTGATATAAGTGTCACGTTTCCTATTTTATGAATGACTTACTTTATTGGTTCAATGAGTAGCTGAAAATTTAGATATTGACTTGACCATCCCAATTATCTTTGAAATTTATATTAAGAAAATCATTTAATAATCTAGAAAATATTAGGATATATCGTAATCTGTCATTCGTTATTGACATCTGATAAAGACGTATAGACTTTCTATGACATCAAAGAAGTAATTCTATTAACTTGGTCTGGCCATTGTCCTCTTACCACCGGAAGTGGTATGACATTTTCATTTATATGCTTAATGATTTTTATAATCACAATTTACTTACGTTTCTTATTGAAAAAAATCTCAATTTATTCTGAAAGATTTTTGACAACTAATGAATCGTTTTTAGGACATGCATGACATACCTTATGCCAAATTAAGAAACTATGAAGGGGATTCACCCCACTCATAGGTTAGTTAAACTTAGTGTATATGTCTGATAAAACAAGTTACTTCATTTGATTTGTCTCGGCTTACAGAAAATTATTTGTATAAGCTTTAAATAATTCCCCACGAGAGGATTGACGCAATGTCCAGACCCTTAATTACATAACGGAAGACAAATCCAACTATTTAAGCCTTGTTTGAACATCCCATGGGTAAGAATTGTGTCTGTCACAGATATAGTCAAAGTAATAGCAAAACAAATAAAAATCTTTGGGAGAGATTTAAAATTTGTCTAGTTTGACAAAGCTTATGTGATCTATTTTAATTTTCATCTTCGATTCTACATCTTTCTTATGCTGAACAACCCAGATTAAAATTAAATGAAACTCATTTTCTATAAAGCCTATAATCATAAAATTTCAGCCAGATGGTAATTCCGCCGGATTTCTGTCTAGTTTTAACTCCGATGTTAGAGGAATCGAAAGAAAAGAACTGCGGATGTCAAATGTTGTATTTCAAACACACACGCCTGCTGTTGACAGCTTCGGCAATAATTTTACTAGAAGCAAGTACTTCTGTTCTCAAGGTCACATGAAAGAAGCCCCAATTTGTAATCAGCATCACCCCGAGAACTCTTAGATTCGACACTTTTCTTCAGTTTAAACTGTTCGTCATATTTGTTGCATTTTGAACTATAGTAAATGCAAGCCGAATATATTTCAATGGCCCCCGTTAACTTGCAAATAAATGCTATATAAATTATTTATATTGTGAATACTTGCACAGAAATTGCACTTGGAAACAACAATATCTGCATTTTAACCAGAACAGAAAGCATTAGGAACATTATATTGAACTAACTTGTCATCCCCAGCTTGTATGTTTGAAAATGAGAATCCCATTAAATTCTTCTTGTTTTTAAAAAGAATGCTTTATACATCGAGGTCTCAAAAGCGTAAATTTGTCTGGAATTCCGAATGTAATTTCAGGTTTCAAGAATTACCGACATGAGATTAATGTCAGACAACCTGTCGTTATCATTCTGTTATAAATCTTCTATTGGAATCAATAGCGGAAAATTGAGAAAAAGATGTATTTATTCGTCTCTACACTTCCTGATTAATAATATTGACACTGTCCTTTGAATTCCATATAAACGTCATGTATCTTAAAGGCACTCTGCCTATTTATTATCTAATGTCTAATGTAATCGGTGATCTCATAACCTAATACAAGTATCACAAACAGCAATTCTGTAACTATATCTAAAAAATGATTTCAGTATTGGAAAGTCAAACGTAATGGATAAAAATTGAGTCTGATCATGCAACCTTTCGATTATTTACTAGGACGTCTCGTGTAAATATTATCCGCAAGCAAATGAAATATAGAGAGAAAGTAATTTTCACTAAGTTTTTGATCAAGTTAAAATACAAATTCAATATTTAATTTGTCGTTTTCAATCGTTAAGTCGTTTCCATTACGACTCAGCCCATTTCGTTCAAATTGACAATGAGTAGAGTAATCCACAGATCACTAATCAAAAGGAATTTTCAAATCAGTATTTTAATCAGACTGAGTAAAAGGAGTCCCGCGAGCTCTTGTAGACCACACAATAAAAAAGTAGTGTAACATTGTATATCTTTAGATAGATCACCATTAGTTTTCCAGATGGAAGGGATAGGTAAAAGTAGTCCCACGAGTTATCGTAGACACGCAATAAAATAAAATTGGCGTAACATTGTGTTTCTATATTGATCACAGACCTATAGATGTCTCAAACAAGGACAATCGAACCTTAACCACAATTCATATGTTTGTATATTTCAGTGGAAAAAGACCGACAGCAACCAGTTCAGATAGAAACACGTCATCACCTTCTGATGACAAATCTGATATTCAAAAGTTGAATAAGAAAAACAAAACAGACGATGTTGATGAAAAGACCATGAAGGTAAAAAACAGGGTTTAACGCAAATTTTACTGAATCAAGGTTAATATTTTCCCATATGTAATGGAATTCTTGATTACATAAGAATAAAAAAAACTATAGCGAAATGTTAAAGTGTCAGATAATATTATCATTACTTGAGTACAGCTGCTCTTTTCTGTACACTCTAGCAATACAGTAAGCACGCACTGCAGCCAGGTTTGGTTGAATCTCGAAGTTTTCAGAATATTGTATGATATCAATATAATGTCGTCATAGCTGAATTGCAGATATACTTCCCATATATACTGATTTATTTCTCATTCATGGAAACAAGGTTAACATAACTTCACTTGACTGCTGTAGATTGTTCATTGACTAGAAAATTCTACTCTAATTTCAGGTTATCCAGATGTTGATAGTAGTGGTGGTGCTGTTTGCTATTTGTTGGGGACCAATTCTAATCAACAATCTTCTAGTAGCTGTTGGAGCTATAGAAAAATATCATTATGACTATTTAAAACCGATGAGACAAGCCTTCTTTCTGATGTCTTATTTCAACAGTTGCTCCAACCCAATTGTGTACGGATTCATGTCCAAACATTTCAGACGCAGTTTTCAGCGTGCTATTATGTCATGTTTTTGCTGTCAAGATAAAAAGTCATTCCATAAAATCCGGTACAGCTTAAATGCAACCAGATCAACAGTATTGTATAGTGGACATCTGAATAGAACCGGACAACGGCAAGACAAGGACATCAAGAAGAATGTCGGGCATTTTTATCGGACTGACACTGCTTCTCCTATGGTTGGAATAAAACTCTCTGCGCTGGCTTCACCTGCCAAAAGAAACACCGTCAATAGAAATAAAGTATGAACTGTGTTCCAGCAACATTATCTAAGTGATGATTTAAAGGGATTGTAAAGTGGTAAAAACATTATGTGTATGTTGGACACAGATAGCATCAATTTGCACCATTCCAATTTCCAATACAAATATCTTTAGGCTACAATCCTTTAACTAATGTTTGTTTTGTAACCTATTTGATTTCCTTGGGTTGAAATTGAAACTTGTAGGAGGTTGTATTTCTTATTTTTTTTGTTTTTTTGAGGCGAAATGAGTCTGATATGCAATGTTTTATAAATTGATGATATAATTTGAGCACGTAAACCTTCCTGTTGGCAGTAGCCTATATCGTGATATAAGTCACGATTGTCGATACACATACTTAGGTTAGATCTATATCCAGTATCACCCAACCTTTCCTCAGCTTGACATTACTATTGACATATAGACACAGCTTTATGGAACAACAATCACTGGTTAAAGTTTTATGCAACGTTTCGACGTGTTTCCCCCGTCGTCCTCAGGCACATAATGAGAAGAAGTGATGGGCAAACTATATATAAATTATTACATGTTTGGATTAGTTTCCCCTCACTCTTTTCAAGCTTGTTTATGAGTTGATTTGCCACATCCCCATATTGATGACGAATAAAGTCTTTGAATGGCATTTAGCAATTGTCAGTACGATATATAGACACAGCTTTATGGAACAACGATCACTGGTTAAAGTTTTATGCAACGTAATGGACACAATGAGTGTATATAGATTGTATTGTATGTGACTTATAATGTAAATCAAACACTTTATCTCTTCTACAATGCCTTACTTTATTTGCTGCTGCCTGGCCACTTTAAAGGGACAGATTTTCCATTTTCGGGGGTTGATTTGGGTCTTGAATATATGTAAATAGTCTTCAGAAGTATTAGAAATGTACGAAAATTACATAATTCCTTCAAAAATATCACAAACTACGTGTCTGTGTCACTTAAGAAACACTTGATGGACAGACGACGCCCAACCAAAGATCTCTTATTAGTATAGGCCATAAAGACGTCATGGTAATCTGACCAACCCTGAAATTAGGATTTCACTGATAGAAAAGGCTACAAGGAGGAAAATGTAAGCATCGTTTATCGTTCACAGGATTGTAGTCGTTGACGTATAGATTTAGCTGTGGTCTGTATCCTTTTGAAACTAATGTGAATTATGTCCCTTGACATAATTTACAAAATGGCAGCGCCCACGACCGAAGAATGGATATGTCAAGAACTAGCCAAATTTGGCATCGAAACAACCCCAGAAAATGCCAGGTAATGAATTCAATGAGTGTGCCAGCTTTAGATCAGACCGGACGGTGAATTTTTATAAAACGAGCAATAGATGATTACTGTCTAGTTTTACTTTCACAATGATAGGCCTTGCCTTGCTTGATTTCGTTTGCAGTTGGTTGTGAAATATGGTAACAGATGAATACCTTTTGAATGAATTCTACCCACAAGGAACTTTATTAGAATGATTGAAATGGTCATATTTTGGCAATGCTACTGAAATTTTCTCGAGTTTGGTATGTCAAGTCTGTCTCTGTGACACATAGCTACAAAATTCTGATAATGGACCAATTCTATTACTGCAACCATGCACAATTGCCCCTCAGGATATATTTCTTGCTCCTCTGACGTTCAAGTATGCTACTTGTTCTAGTGTCGCTACTATCTTCTTCTCATGTCATAAATGTCTCAAGTGGGTTACTATGTTTCACAAATATAAGACATCTTCTATGTTAATTTCTAATATTTTCAATGCATGTACTATTCTTCTGTAAGACCATGACTTTAAACTACGCATGTATAGTAGATAGATAGGACCATGGGTTAATGAAATCCAGATTGTGACACTACATGAAGCTGTGAATTTGCGAAGTTTCTCATTCCAAAGAAAGAAGTTGCTAGACCTACTCATTAACATAATTATTAACCAGGCATCGCTATAATACATTAACTATATCTTTTGATTTCTTTTATTACCTTTCAGTTATATACTATCCATGGACAACAATCAAGATCTAGAAGACTATATGAATGATTTGTTAGATAAATCAGATCCTAAAGTCAGAATATTTGTTCAGGAATTATTAAGAAGAAATGGAGGGAAGAATTCTAATGAATGTGTGGTAAGAATTGTTGTTTGTTCAGAAATAACTGACTCAAAAATTTGTTGCATAATTTTGTCATTTAGTTATTTGTCTACCACCTATTTAAAGACTGTTCTGAAAAGTTCAATTTTTACTGGGAACATTATATAAAATGTGCATGATAAGCTGTCTAGTAAATTTCATAAAGAGTTTTAATCAAAATGAAAACCAACTATGAATTTCCATATGAAATGTTGTAGTGACAATGTAAAATTTGTAGGTTTTACCAAAGAAGAATGAAAAAGATGTGTATTTTGCTGGTGTCAATAAAGTGAAGAAAAAACCCAAACCACCAAAAACTAAAACAAGTCCATCAAAAGTGAATGGTTACAAACAAGAGGAGGTAAATAATCAAGAATGCAATAGTCTTGTATATTACAGCTATGTGTCTATCATTAATGTCTATTTCCAATTTTGAATTTTGGAACTTAGCATATTCAATACATGAAAGGGTTAAGAGACTTCTAAATATTACTCTTGTAAAAAAATGATTGATTTATTAAATTTTTTTTAGCAGGAGTCTCCGCCATTGAAGCCAACTCCTTCTCAACCAGATACTGTGATAGATGGTACGAAGAAAAAATCAAAATTTGTTCCTTTATTTAGTCAAGAAGGTCAAGCTAAATCTGTGATTAAATTGTCAGGTAAATATGAAAATAAAGTCTTTATTTTTAAATATTTATCACACGTGATACCAGCCATACATTCAATTCTTCATTTTTATTTTCATTAATAGTTATTTCACTGCTAGTGAAAAATTACCAACTAAGTTCAACGTTTATTATAATGCAACATTATCTAAGTGATGATTTAAAGGGATTGTAAAGTGGTAAAAACATTATGTGTATGTTGGACACAGATAGCATCAATTTGCACCATTCCAATTTCCAATACAAATATTTAGTAAACCTCTTTAGGCTACAATCCTTTTAACTTAAAAAATCTTGATTACCTGTACACTTCCATCTCTACACAATATGTAATGTAAAGTCCATATTCTGCTGTATTGAACATTGACTCTATTTATCAATCTGTTTATTTAGGAAGACATGTTTGTGAATGTCAAGCTGCTAAACATAAACTGATCAGTAATTGTTTAAAATGTGGTCGAGTCGTTTGTGCACAAGAAGGTTCTGGACCTTGTTTATTTTGTGGAAATCTTGTAAGTATAATTAGTTTTGTTTCAGATTATGAATATCTTGGACTTTCTCAAAAATTGTGGTTAAGCATTACCAAACCAAACATTGGTTAAATTGTAAAACACATTTTTTGATGGCTTTCTTATGTAGTAAGATATAGTTTGTTTGAAGATTCAAAGTTCACAAAAGAAAATATTTAAAGCTGAATCAAATGATTAATTTATTCATTATTCGTTATTTTAGGTCTGTACAAAGTCTGAGTTTGATATATTATCAAAAAATAATAAACAAAGTGATAAATTACGCAGTCAGTTAATGGGTAATTTAGATGCTCTGAGTTTAGCTGGACAGTCAATCTACCAAGATATATCAGGTGATATTAAGGCTATAGAAGAAGGGGCTGAAAAAGCTAAAAAGCACAAAGATAGGCTGTTGAACTATGATAGAACTAGGTAAATATCAGTATGTATTGATATTCATCATATGGTATAGTCAAAGGTCCTTATCAGGTCGGGTCATTATCTCCCTTTGCATAAATAAGCTTTTTTATCAATTTTCAGTCATTATTGTTTAAGAATATTTGAATTAATTTCTGAATTTTTCAGTAGCAGAGGTTTCAAATGTGAAATTGTTTTAAATATTTCATTATGATTGAGTATGTAATAAAACATTACCATGTTAAAAATTCCTCATAAAAACTAGTGTGTTAAAACACCAATGAGCATTATGATTAATTTCAGTGTAAAAAGAACCCAAGTTCTAGATGATGAATGTGACTATTTTGCTACGGAATCCAATAAATGGATAAGTGAGGAAGATAGGAAGAAATTAAAGGAAAGAGAAGAGGAATTACGATCAGAGAGACATGGTTCACGCAGGGATAGAAAGATAACATTTGATTTTGCTGGTCGTAAAGTCATTGATGCTGAAAAAGACACTAGTAAAAATATGTATGATGTAAATGATGATGTGATACAGCAAGTTCATTATGGTAAAAACACTCAATCTAAAGACAATGTACTGTTAAAACCTTCCGATTTTAATCCTTTAGTGAATCCTACTATACAACAACATGCACCAAAGGTAAGTGTTTAGCAGCATTAAATCCTGTTATTTCCATTTCTTGTAATCAAGCTGTGATTTTTTGGAATTTTCCTGTGACTTCAATGTTTTGTGGTTGTTCTGTGATTTCCATTTCTTGTAATTATCCTGCGTTTTTTTTATGTACTTCTGTGTGTGTATATGTTATGTGACTTCCAACTTAATTGCTCTGTGTCTTAGATTTTGATTCATTTTAAGATGTTTGACATATTTACCTGAAAAAACCTACTCATAGTCATATTAGGTTTAAAGGCCTATCAGTTTTTACAGCATAAATTCAATAATTCAATGTTGTAATGTTGGACAATTATTATTCATAAAAACTTAATAATTTCGAACAATATAAAATCTATGTAATTTTCAGTATGTACCTGTTGGTGAATCATACAGTGATAAAGCCACCAATTTAAATAATACCAATTCCCCATTTAAACATAAATCAACATCACGAATACAAGATAAAGAATTATTAGAGATGAGTGATGAAGGAATGTGTATGAGTATGCATCAACCATATGCTTCACTGCTGGTGAAAGGTATCAAAATGTAAGTTTGAAATTTGACGTACTAGTTTTTCATGGCTTGGAATACAACTTTCGGTCTGTTACAAATCAAATAGTTTAAGTCATACTGTTCTCTCTTTGGCATTTTCACTGAATTAAATTCAATTAATACACTTTTTTTTTCAAAAAAGTTCAATGATTTGCTGATTTATTTTAAATCCAGATCACAAACTACGAACTGGCAAATACCGGAAAGAGTGCTTGTAAGCATGGCAGAGTGCTTTAAACTCCAGTGGGATTACTTTGAAGAGGAAAGTTGTAGTTTTGTTAGTTTGTTGACTTGGAACTGTGACACACCTTATAACATAATATGTCTTTTTACAGTCATGAAGGAAGAACATGGTATACTGCCCATAGAGGTGTATTATGGATAGCTGCAACTTCTCAAACTCCTGATACTAAAGATATAAGTGATGTGGAAAAATTTTATATTTATCATTATGATGGTAGGTTTGTCAATTTTAAAAAAGATCATAGGTTTCTATTAACTATCTTTGTGTATATAATCTAACTCATTGCTGAAAAGAAATCATGCAGCAACAGCATGAAAAGTGATTTTTACTTACTAGATATGTCTGTTGAAATGTTTCCTTAACCACTTTATAGAGCTCAGTTTTCACCATCTGTATCGCTTCTCAGAATCAAACCTAACGTTCGGTTCTCCTTCTCCATAGACGACGATATATCCAGGCCTTAAATCCAACATGGATGTCTAAAGATTTATCCTGTTGCATCAAACTCTATTGGAAAGATACCAGTAGTCAGTTATCTGATGATGCCAACCAAAATTAACTTTGAACTTTGTTGTATTTTTGTATTATAGATAAAGATATAAAGTTTCCTAGTCATTATCCTGTAGGATGTTTATTAGGCTGTGTTGATGTTGTTGATTGTTTATCTCAAGAGGAATACAGGTTAAAGGTAAAGAATATTTTTGTTCAATGCCACATACATATCTTGTTCATTTTACATACTTAATCATAGTCACATGTAGGCTGTTCAATGTCACATACCTAGCTTATTCATTTTACATACTTACATACTTACCTTGTTCAATGTTACATACTTAGCTTGATAATTGTTACATACATATCTTGATAATTGATACATACATAGCTTATTCATTTCACATACTTAACTTAATCATAGTCACATGTAGACTGTTCATAGTCACACACTAAGTCGTTCGTTGTAATATACTTCGCTTGTTCATAGTCACATACTTAGCTTGTTCAATGTCACATACTTAGCTTGTTAATAGTCACATACAAAGCTTGTTCATTGTTATATACATAGCTTGTTCATTGTCACATACTGAGCTGGTTCAATTTTATTTTGACATATTTAGCTTGTTCATTGTAACATACTTAGCTTGCTCCTAGTCACATACTTTGAAATATAAGGTTAGTTTTTCATAGTTCTGATTAAAGCTTAAGGCATTAAACTACATGAAGATAGTTATATTTGAAATATTATAAATTGTGATTGAAAATCTGTGTTTCTATTATCCATTATATCTTATAATGATAACAATGTTTTTATTATTTATTTTTCAGTTTCCAGATGGAGAATCTGTATCTCCCTATGTATTTATATGTGAAAATCCTCAAGAATTAATAGTAAAATTTCCTATTAAAGGAAAACACAAAATATGTAAGTATTTTCCTGAATAAACGTAACAAACTAAAGCAAATTTATTTAATAATTTAATAAAAGCTTTTTGCATTAACCTTGATATTTGAGTTTTTGAATATCGGAAGCTGTTTAATTAAATTTAACTTTGTTTATTTTCAGATAAATTAGATTCCAACATTCATCAAGGTGCTAAAAAAGGTTTACGTCAACCTTCAAATGTCTGACAGAATTGAGGGTTAAATACAATTATACCTATATTTAGATTCAGAAGAAAAATTGAATGAAACAAGAAATTGAATGAAGTAAATGGAAACTTGCTAGGAATGGGAACTGTTTAGTGAAATGTTGTGCTTTCACATCACATTAAGTTTTGTATAACATATCTCTCTCAATTTGTCAATGAAATATTTTAGGATATCTATCTCTGATTTTTACAAGACATTATGTCGTGTATAGCTTCTATTGAGTTATTCAAATAGAATCTTGCTACAGGAACAATTTTATCAATAAACTTCGCTAACTGCTTATGCTAGGATATCAAACCTGTTATATAAAATACTTACTGTACTATTTATGTTTTTGTTTATGTAAATTATTTGTTAATGGTGTGGCAATGAAATTATTTGCCTGATATATTTGAAAAAGAATAAATTTATTTTAAGGTTAAAGACTTTTTAGAATACAGTTTGTGCTTGTCATTTGAATATTGGCGATATCAACTGATAGAGCTTAATTTCAGCTATCTCCTATCACTTTTCACCCTGTGGTGAGAGGTGGGTGCTGGAGAGTTTGTTCCCTTAAAAGACATTCCAAACCACCACATGCAATCTTGGTGTATGTCTTGATTAAATTTTCGATACAAATAGTCCATCAACCACTAGTCTGGCCTTCCACATTTCATTGACCACCAGTCGGTTAAGATTTCTTTTAGATTTTCACTAAAGTCTGACTAAATTGGGACGAATTTTGACAGAATTATGAATGGTATTCAAAGCTTGTTGCGTTGTTTCTCAGATTTCCCAGAGAGGCATTCAAAACAAATCCGCACCTTTGCCAATATAATATTAAAGAATTATGTTTCAGATCATTTGATCAGCCATCAACCAAACCCATACGATGCTGCATCATTGCAAGAATGTTGCCAATTCATAAATCGAATTAACCATTATAAACTGGTTGGTGAATTATAGAGATAAATTTACAGTAGGAATGTTTATCATTGATATCTATATCTATTACTACCAATCACACTAATCGTTCAATGTTCATTAGTACAGATCATTTTACAGTATTCACTTTTATCTTACTGGAACAATGTACATGGTTTCAATTACTCGCTTGTCCTCTAAACAAAACGGTCGAATATTGATCATTTAACCTTAAAACAGGTATCAAACAAATTCCACTGGATTTTTTACGGTTCTTGAAAATATTCTAGAAATATATATCAGACGGGCAGGTTGTTTTTGCGTTAAATATATGTAATAATGATATTATCATGCCTGAGTCAATTATCTCCTGGTGTTTATTTTCTAGTGAGTTTTCTCTTTGTTTCAAAACGACAAATTGCTATCTGGTACGAAAACTGCAAATAAATGTTCAACTATATTGTTTAAAGAAATACATTGTACAAAATTAGAATTCCTACAAATACAAAAAACTTCGATCTACAAGAAACAGTCGCTCTAGCTCCATACCAATGTTTCAGACTCATTAGTTTATATCTGCAAGAACCCATAAATCATCTCATTTAAGCTCAGGAAGCCAACATATTTTTTTCATATTTTGATGTTTGCCTCCTGTAGTTGACTCTAAAAAGATATTTTAAAAGAAAATTCATATCACATGTATATAGTTTTAATTGTATAATAGATTCACCCCACACCTATACGATATTTGATACTTTTAGATATGAGACAAAGGGTAAGCATATTATAGAGAATCCTATCTCCCATATCTCGTATTGTTAAAGCCCCTGAATATTTCATCCTCATTAAATTAAGGGGCGTATTGCAGTAGTTGATCATTAGTTAATCAGACCTTCTGACTAACAACACCTCTAATGTCTCCATCAATGTATCAATAAGTAAAGTGGGAGGTTTTCAAGATGATTTTGTTCTTTTTTTTAATTTCTTGTTGTGTTTTAACAAAAGCTGCTCAGCCTGCAGTTACTGTTTCAGGTGAGTTGCTTTTACGTATTTTTTTATGCCAAATTTGTTATTTTCTGGAAACATTGGCTGATGTAAGATGGTTACATAGTTTCCAAAATTACCGCCAGGATTCTGTTCTAAAGGTACCGATTCTCATTCAGGTCTTCAGATTAAATTAATTGGTGGCAGTACAACAGGAGAAGGTCGGGTGGAGATCAGATTAGACAACACACATTCATGGGGAACAATCTGCGATGACTTATGGGGCGACGCTGATGCAACAGTAGTATGTCGTATGTTCGGTTACAAGTTCGGTAGTGTAAGTATAATGTCAATTGTACGCTCAATATATTTGTATCATCCAAAACATCAACAGGTTTCAATATGCGCGCTTGGAAATATGGGGATCTCTAGGCCTCTCTTACCTTAACATGTAACCAGCTTTGAGGAACTGGCAATGATTAGCAGCTACTTACTGCTATTAAGAAAAAAAGACGAGGTTGACGTATGTGCGTTGGTATTCTTGTATAATTTCTCCTAAAGCCTGCTGGAAGTGATACCTTTATCCTATCGGACTGATCGGATTTGTTTTTGTTTTAATTTCCACAGCCTCGTCGATATGCCACTTTTGGACAAGGAAGCGGTCCAATTTATATGGACAATGTCCAGTGTCGAGGAAACGAACCAGTTATAACAAATTGCTCATATTCTGGGTGGGAAACACACAACTGCAGACATTACGAAGATGCTGGCGTGACTTGTTTTAATTATGATAGTAAGAACCATTTTTCTACATAATATTTCATTTCAAAATTGAAATCTTTATTTACGAAATATAAGTTTTACAGACTTTTGGGCAAGGCTGTCAGTCAATTCTTGCAGCTAATAACTTGGAAATCAGGTCATGTATTCTCGAAATGATCTTAGTGCTAGACTGTCCTAAGATGTTAGAAGATAAGAACATAGGACATCCTAGCGCTGAGATTGTTTCGAGAATACGCCAGAAGCTTAATGTATTTTGATAAATTTATGTTTTAAGTACGGTTGGTTCCTGTTGGTAGTAATACTAATGCCGGTGCTGTAGAAATTCGTGAGTTAGATGGATGGAAGTCTGTTTGTGATTCTCAATGGGACGACAATGCAGCTAAAGTGGTCTGTAAGCAGCTACAACGGGGATACTCATATGGAAAAGCATACTGCTGCTCTAAACTTAGCCCTTATACATGGGATTATCGGTACAGAAACGTTGTAACTTACACCAATTTCTCTTGTAATGGCAATGAACAGAAGTTGCAGGACTGTACTAGAGCTCGCCAGAACACAGTTTGTCCAAGAAGACACAGAGCTTCGGTAGCTTGTTTCGCTTCCCAACCAAGTTCTTTAGACTTACGTAAGTATTCAACCACAATTTGTAATGTTATTGTCGGTTCCCTAGAAAAATGGGACCTTAAGTTATATTATGATCTATAAGTAAGAGTTGTCAAATGATAATACCACTGCAAAACTGATGAATAGGTGTATAGACATTTTTTGCGACCGCTGGTTCTTTACTTTCATAATAAACATAATACTTATTAATCTGTATTTCAGAATTTGGTGTTTCAATTTTCAATGGATCGTCTAGTGGTTCGTCTCCAATGTGGGGGATGCTGAAAGTAAAATATCAAGGTGTTGATGGTGTGTCCTGTGCTAGTAACTGGAATGATGTTACAGCTAATATAGCATGTAAACAGCTTAGTCAAGCAGGTATACCACATCCTTCACCTTTACGCTACTTTTTGTTTTCATGGTCGGGTCATGAATATTTGTCTTTCTCATTCATTCAATGGTTTATCACATGCTTAAAACACATATCACCAAAACACATAGGTTTGATTCTTCGTAGACAGACAATTCCATGTATTTTTGTTTTACTTCCAGGTGGTATAAGGTTTGGAACCTCAACATACCGACTTCCACTTCCATCATGGGTATCCAACTACAACTGTAGTTCCTCATCAGAAAGCAATCTAAAGAACTGTGTAGTAGCACCATGGGGACAACCTAAATATTACTGTCGTCCTAATGGCTTGCTGTGCTACTCCAGTCGTAAGTATTTTCGATACAAAGGGGTTTTTTTTTGCCAGTATTTCAATGCCAGAATTCCTCAGTGGATTTATGTGTATATATATATACGTGAGTAACGTTTTAAATGGTTTATTTTGTTTTTGTCAGAGGCACCTACGGTACAACTTGTCGGTAGTGGTCCAAGAAGTGGAAGAGTTCAAATATCCTTCAATGGTCAAACTGGAACAATCTGTGATAACAGTTGGTCGAACAATGATGCCAGAGTGGTGTGTAAAACCATGGGTTTTGTTGATGGTATAGCATTTAAGGGTTCATATTATGGACGCGGATCTGGTGCTATTTTCTTGGATAGGTTATATTGCAATGGGAGAGAGGGTACTATTTTTGGCTGTCCTAATAGAGGTTGGACAATAGCGGACCGGAGCTGCACAGATCACTCTAAAGATGCCTCAGTGGTGTGTTATAACGAAGGTACGATTTTCGATCTAACAACCTTTTCTGTAAACCACAATTGCGCAATGACGACTTTGTAGTATCAAAGATTTTGCATTCTTGCACACCACATATCATTACAGGAAATAGTTGATTTAATAGCATCGCATATTTGAAAATTTGATTGAATGCGTCATTTATATTTTCAGTGCGATTGGTGAGCGGAGATCATTCACATGGTATTGTTCAAGTCAAAAATACTCGTTACCGATATACCTACTGGACCCCACTCTGTGGCACTGGATTCACTGATACCGAAGCTAAAGTTGTTTGTAAGGAAATGGGATTTCAAAATGGTAAAGCTCTACCTTTGGGAGCTTATGGTCGTTACTACAGCTGGAGAGGATATGCCCGAAACAATATTACTTGCACGGGATCTGAAGAATCAATTTTGAATTGTACCTATGTATCACC